TGAGCATCCCAAATCATACCTGTCATAAGGTCAATCATATTGGTCTGCCTCCTGTGGGACAGCATCTCGCCGGCACCGGAAACCAGGGCAGCTGCTGACCAGACCATGCAAAGCTGATCCAAGTTACAACCCCACAGCCCGAGCGAGCCGATACAATAGAAGTATGTGGACTCGGTAGACGTCCTTCCTCTCCTCCCCTCCCACTTCTTCCCCCTATTTGTTGATGTAGGGGATTGACCTCTTCAACTCCGATTCTTTCTCTGTGCCTTTCATCTTCTAGCCCAGAACCAGCAATATGCTGAAGCCAACGCCTTGTCTGAGCTGCAACCGTGGAGTCACAGGCCTCCGCTTAGAACAGTGGGCCTCCGACCTTTCAGAAGGACGGAAGAGTTCGGGAAGCACAGGAAGTAGTTGGGAGTCGGCAAGCTGAGGGGCTGTGGAGACTTAGGGCCGGAGTTGACAAGGTGCTCAGAGAGAGTCCTGGGCTCAAGGGAAGAGAAGTGCCTTTGGACGAGAATTGGCATACCTCCGCCGCATCGGCTAAGGTCAGAAGCAAAAGCAAAAACAAGCGCAAGCCCAAGCGCCAGCGCACGCGCACGCGCACACGCCCAGACACTTAATTACCTACTTCCTTGTTTGGTGCTTGTTCCTATGCGCACAGCAGCGGTTCTTGCAGGATTCAACTGGAGGGACCCGGAGTGGTCCCAGCCAGGAAGTTGGAGAAGCCTGTTCAGGCCGCCTTTGCTATTTTGCAACTTGATCCCCCTAAACCCTAAACCCTAAACCCTAAACCATAAGCCCTAAGCCCTAAGCCCTAAGCCCTAAGCCCTCACTGAGTGCAATGAAGCTCACCGAATGTGCAGGCTTGAGACCGTGCCTCCGCCCGGGGAGGAGGCTGGGAAGCGATGTCCGTGGCTTTAAAGTGATGTGTGTTGCTGGTGTTTGAGCTTCCGTGCGCCTTGCACTGGCTTGAGCCATCTGTATGCTTAGTAGGTTCAGGGGGCCTTGCGCCTTCCTTTTCAAACTTACGCCATGACTGCTGCGTACCTCTAACGCAGCCAACAATGAAGCTATATCAGCTGCTGCTGCTCAGCCTGAGCCTCTTCTTCAGGCAGGCAGAAGCTGCCAAGGTTCGTACCTTCACACCGAGTCACGACGAGATCAAAAACGACCCCAAGCGACTGTTTACCACCATTCCAGATGGAGCCTGCATCGGGAAGCCATTCACGGAGTACCCAGAGCAGGGCTGCGACGGGTGGAAAGATCTCACGCAAGAGCAGTGTCAGCAGAAGTGTGCCGACCATTGGGCGCCCGATGCTTGCGTCGAGGAGCGCTGCCATGCAGCGGTCTACTACCCCGCCAGCGGCCTGTGCCATCTCTACATGGCGCCGGAGTGTGTAGATCTGATCCCGGCAACGGGTGCTGTCACTCTGCTTGACGAGAGCGAGATCAAGAAGTTCCGCAAGGAGGAGACGCAGGAGTCCGAGGTCGAAGCAGAGGAGGCTGCAGCGGAGCAAACTCATCCCAACCCCTACAAGGAGCTTGGGACCGCGCTGCCCACTTGTCTCGTGAACCTCTCGAATTACTCGGGCCTCGTCAGCGACGGAGACAAGGCAGCGAACGTGAGCCACAAGTTTGGCGAGATCAACTCGGATCTGGAGCTACTTTTTGACAAGGTGAAAGGGTTCTACTTGGTGCTGCATGAGCTGATGAATGCAGATGACGGCCCGAAGTTTTGCCCTTTCCGTTCAGAGCGCTCCATTAAGCGGTGCATCTCGATCGCGACCTGCCTCTTGCAGGGGGCGGTTGGCAAAGATGTGCCAATGTCTGCCTACGCATCCATGATGGAGCAGGTGACTCGCTTCGACGACATCACCTGGCCGACGCTCATGGCCAAGCTGGGGCAGGAAGACAAGAATCATACCGTGATAGGTGAGGACGAAATGCCACAAGAGTACCGCTGCGATGATGTGGAAGTGGTCAACCCAGCTGCGAATGTTCGCAAGACAACGCTCCTTCAGATGGAGGTACACCATGCTCAGGGCTCCGGTACCGCAGCACTTTTGGCTACGTCTGCTGCTTTTCGGCAGGCCGCAGCTGAAACGCACCGCATCCTGGACTCCCATGGGCTGAATACTTCCATGGAGCTCACCGCACATCACCTCCATCAGGCATGGCATCCAGTGTGTCGGCAGCTGGACTGCGACGCCTCCAACATGCATGATATCTTCGTAGCTTCCCACAAGCAGACGTTGGCCCTCTTCCAAACGAGCGCAGTGGCGCACATGCAGCATGAGATCCGGCACCGCGTGAAGATGGACCAGAGGGTGCAGCGTTTCATTGCCGAGCACGGGCACGGAGGTCAGGTCTCTTTCTTCCGGCCCAGCCAGACGTCCTCGGAACATGCTGCTAGGGTCTACGGTGAGAAGGGCCGGGATGGTGTCATTTCCGTCGTGCTGCCGACACTGGCACATCTAGTTGATCATGACGAGAGCCGAGCGCTACGCCTCATCGACATGGTGGAGTTTGAGAAGTTCCGCCAGCAGGAATACGAGGTTGAGGGGGAACAGGAGGACGATATGGATGCCGATGAAGGCTCGCTTCAGGAGGAGCCGGAGGCGCTCCTTGAAGAGAATGAGGAGGACGAGAAAGAGGAGCACCAGGAGGACGAAGACGAAGAAGAGCCAGGTGATAGCGAGCTGGCCCCGGAAGATGAGGAGGACGAGGAGCCCGAGAGCATGCGCCACAATTCCAGCAAGCTCGCCTTGATGCAGACGTCTGGTGAGCTTCAGGAAGCTGAGATGGAAGGAGAAGTGGAGCAGAGTGGCTGGGGCCGACGGCGACGGCGCAGGAGGCGCCGCAGACGCAGACGCCGCAGAAGGCGTTGGCTTCGTCGACGCAGACGTCGCTGGTTCAGGAAGATCTGGAATGCTGTGAAAAGTGCTGTTGTGAAATGGGCGAAGAAGTTCTTTGAATGCTTCGGCCAGTACTCCAGCTGGGACGCTGTGGGCTACACCAAATCCTTTGGCGGCAACGTCGGTCTGAGTCTTGGCTTTTCCGCCGGACACAGCGGCAGCATATCGGACCTGATCAAGGGTCATCTGTTCACCGGTGGCTGGGTCAGCATCTCCTTCGGCATGAGCGTTGGCACTGCTGGTGAATGGTGGTGGGGCGGTGTCGGCGTCAGCGGTAGTGTTTCTTGCAGCACAGGGGCAACCTGCCGGTTGGGCGTGTCAGTGGGCGCGATTGGCTGCGGCTGGTGGGATGTCGGCATAAACCCGGTGTGCCCATTCGATCTCTCGAATTTGGGCGTGAAGTGCCAGCAGTCCAAGGGTGGCACCTTCTTGGTCACCTGCTGTGGCGTGGACTTGGTGACCGGCAAGAATGACTGCAGATGAGAATCGTGAGAAGGTTGGTTTGGGTTCGTGATATTGCGCCCTCTTGTACAGCAGGGTGTATGTGTAAACCTTCACGGGCGCCCGGTGTATTGTACAATCAGAGTTTTCCATCGTATGTCATTTGGTGATATCATTGGAGCCAGATGAGACCTGAGGCCTTTTTTGCTGAAAAGGGCAGCTAGAAGAGGGTCGCAAGGGCCAAGAGGACTGAATTCATTTGCCTGTCTGTCTTGAGTGTGCGGATGTCTGGAGTAATACCATGCCCTGCATCTGATCTTGGAACGCCAGGCTGGTGAACCCAGAGTACTTGCCTCACAGCCCACGCACTTGATCAATATGCCTTTTGTCGGCAGCGAGAGCCGAGAGCATGCCATAGCCAACCATCCGAGCGTATCCGAGCGTGATGCGATCCTAATACCGGCACATGTACATTAATCATCCGGGTCTAAGATCTGCCCATGGACAGCAGGGAGACTGCGACATCAGGCTGTTGTATGAACTGGTCTGCTCATCTAGTGTTGCACAATCTCGGCGGGACACTTCTTTTAACGATCTGGGTGTGGGGTACTTCTCCTTAACGCTCGATGGGGAGAACAAGGCGTGGAAAGGCCGCAGAACGCTGAAAACTACCTCAACTGTTCAACAAACACCCCGAAGTTTCCGCACACACGTCAGGGTCGGAGCGAAAACGCTGCACTCAGCACAGCTGTTCCAAATTGGAGCCTGCCAGGGGTCCATCCATCATAGGGAAGCCCTCCCGCCTCCTCCCCATCCAAGGAGGATGCTCTCTGGGCGCGCAGCCTGGGCCATTGATGATCCTTTTGCTGCGCCAACCGAGCTGACCTACACTAACCAGGCTGAATCAGACGGGTCTCAGGCCATGGCATGGGCTCAAAAAAAGGGACAAGGATTTGCTTGCTGTGAGAGCCGGTGTGAGAGATGGAATTTGGGACGTTGCCCCCATAAAACTACAACAGTCCTTAAGAGGAACTATATAGTAGGGGGTACTATAGTCCCTACTAAGGACTGTTCGCATCTAAACCGAATGTTAGATTCCTTGCTGGGCCAGGGATCGTGGAGGTGCTGCGCTGATGACCAGACACCGCTGATTCGAAGTAGTGCATTCAAGTAGTTCTGGTAGGTCCCTGAGTAGGTTGAGTTGTCTTGATCCACAAGCCCTGCTGGCAGTAGAATGCCAGAGTCGGGTTTTCATATGTCGGGTAATGAGTGCGCTCATTCGTGCCTGTTTCGGTGGTTGGGGTGGAGAGTCCAAGCTGTCTACAGCGCTTCGCTGTGTTGGCAAAGCTACGTGGCGCGTTGCCCTGTAGAGGAAGGACCAAGCTGGATGCTTCGGTTCCCTGTTCAGGCATTTAGGGGGACCTGGTTAGACACGTTGCAGGCCGGTGGGGATTTCAGAAGGCAAAGAATCCTTCAGCAACACCTGCCAGCTTGTTTTCAACGTCGCTCTTGTCGCAACGTCTCACAACTCGGGCATTGCTCCGATCAGCAATGTACCAAAAGGCTCAGGCCATGCTCCATAGGCCCTCGCTGATTCGTGGTGTGTTTGTGGCTTCTTCCTCGTTCCATGTGTAGCTGGTGCAGGAGCACGGCATGCCAGATGACGACGACCCAGGCTTTGGAATGAGGACCGCCACGTGAATGAGCTCAGCTGTCAGTTGCCAGCGGTGCCTCAGCGTCGTCGAAGATGTCGAAGCCACCAGATTCTGAAGCCCAGGCTGCGTGATTACCAGCGCAAGCACCATGCTGAAGTTACTGCGCTTTCGCAGGCGCGCAAAAAATCTTCTTGAGCTGAACAGCATGGTGTCTGGACATGTCTGGACAGTTGGTTTGATGCCATGTAGGCCTGCCGGCATTTCTTCTGATGGATTAGACTGAATACGTATTCCTTTTGGTTATGAAATAGGTGCACCTACTCTACTGGTTTCTGTGAGGTGGTCGAAGCTATCCGAGAGATCCAGGCCCTCCTGTGTGTTGAACTAACTTTCCACCAGAAGCCGGTTGGGTTGCTGATCTGACCTGAGCTGTTAACCGATGGAATTGCAGCTGGGGGGAGTTTCATACCGGTTGCACTGGCTCTATGGTACTCGTGCTCGTCTTCGCTTTTGCCGGTCAGGAGGAGACGGCTGCCACGGCTTCAGGGAACGCTGCTGACATCCAGGCAGGAAGCTGCCGTTGGCCAGGGCATGGTTTGGGGCTGGTGAGGAATGTGGCCGTAGCCCCCAAAGCCTCTTGCACTAGTTGAGGCTCCGGCTTGAGCTCTTCATCCCCAATAGCACCTGCCCTGCAAAGCAAAAGAGAGTTCCGAAGAACGAAGGTGCATGGATGGGTGGAGCTCTTCGTGCCTCACTACCCTTGCTCCAGGCTTCCAGCCCCGGGGGTTTAGGGTTTAGGGTTTAGGGGTCACCGGATACTGTACTGGTAGGAGGGTGGAGGTGGTCTAACTTGCGGCATGTTGTGCAATGAAGCTTGCGCAGTTTGGTTCTGCATATTGCACATTATTGCACCCGGGAGTGAAGCGCTTTGCCTGTTCAAGAAATATTCTGAGAGTTCCTTAGCAGTTTGCCTCAACTTGCGATGTCTTTGCGCTTGGGCGTAGTTCTGCTTAGTGGCCGGCAAGCTTGGGTGGAGGTGTCGTCGGATGCCTTGATTGCACACGTGAGGCGCCAGGCAGAGAGGGGGCTTGACACCTGCTTGGAGCGGTTGGTCTCAGAGTCGGGCGTGGCGCTGCCGGAATGGAACACAGTCCAGACGGCGGGACTAACGGATGGGGAGATGTTGGCAGCCCAGGTGAAGCAAAGGAGGCTCTGTCCTTTATCCGAAGGGCTGGCCCTTGTGCGCGAAGATGGGTCCGCGGCGATATGGGGCTATCAGCTGTTGAAGGCTCCAGAATTGCCACATGGCGTCCGACGGATAGCCGGTTCCGACAGGGCTTTGGCAGCCACCCTTGATGATGGATCGCTCGTGACTTGGGGCGACGAGGACTCTGGAGGAGACAGCAGCGCTGTGCGAGAAAAGCTCCGCGAGGTGGTGTGGGTTGAACCTAACTATGCCGCCTTTGCGGCCATCCTGGCAGATGGATCTGTCGTAAGCTGGGGAAGGGCAGATCATGGCGGAGACAGCAGTGCCGTGCAAGAAGAGCTGCATGACGTGCGACAGATCAAAGGCTCCTTGCGTGCCTTTGCTGCTGTCCGCGCCGATGGCTCCGTCGTAACCTGGGGCAGTCCTGCACATGGCGGCGACAGTACCGTCGTGCAGAGTGATCTCCAAGATGTGAAAAGGCTCTATGCAACGTTTACTGCCTTTGCGGCGCTGCTGGGAAACGGCACAGTGGTGGCCTGGGGCTCTTCCCTTGCCGAGCTTGCCTTGCAGTCGAAGCTCAGCAATGTCCAGGAAGTGTCAGCAACAAGCGAGGCGTTTGCGGCGTTGTTGTGTGACGGAACAGTCTACACCTGGGGCGCGGCAGAGCTTGGAGGTGACAGCAGTATGGTTCAGGCGCAGCTCAGGAATGTTTGTATGCTTACGGGATCAGCAGGAGCCTTTGCAGCCGTCACTGGAGATGGCTGCATCGTCACCTGGGGAGATGAAGACTGCGGGAGCGACAGCAGTGCTTTCCAAAACCAGGCGCTTAGCGTCCGATCGTTGTGCGCCACGGCTGCAGCATTTGCCGCCATCCTGGAAGACGGCTCTGTGGTGACTTGGGGGAACTCGGAGCATGGAGGCGACAGTCGGGATGCTTCGTTGTAGAGTAGGTAGCCTTTCACCTTTTTGGGGTAGCATAATCCCCTCATATAGAGGTCAACCTTCAGTCCCCCTAGTAGGTACTGAACAAGTAAGGATGTGTGTGACCAGCTGTGCAACGTGCAGCAGGTCGAGGCATCCTTCAGCTCCTTTGCGGCGCTTCGGGCAGATGGCAGGGTTGTAACATGGGGCCTCCCAACGTGTGGCGGCTCCGGCGCCACGCCTGCCGAGATATACATTCGAAACGAGCCCGGTTCATGAGTCGCTGGATTCGTCGATCTCCGCGCTCGCCCGATGATCAGACTCACAGACTCACAGACTCCTGACCTCCTGGATGCCTCAGCCTGAAAGCCTGCAGAATCTGCGCTTCTGCCCAGTTGCAGCTTCGGTAATGCTGCTGGTACCTGCTTCTTGCGACGAACCTATTGCTAAACCCCCTCGCGGCCGCCCTCGTGCATGTCTCCTGTTCAACATGGAAAGAAGTGTGCTCAGGGTGCTGCAGGTTTGCCCAAGTTGATCTCAGCCCACAGGCCATCCAACAAACCTGCCCTGCGCTCCATGAGGCTACCGTAAATGCAAGAGCGGGCGAGCTTCGGTGATTCTGCTGCTGCTCTCTGCTGAAAAGACACTGGCACGCCTGCTGTTCCCATCACGGTGTTTCTTGAGCGTGATCACAAATACATTTTTTCATCTGTATACTATATAAATATGTATATATTTATATGTACAATATATATATATATATACATACAGTCACAATAGTACAATAGTATTTTAAAATGTATATACATATACAAATACATATATATATATATATATATATGTGTGTGTGTGTGTGGGGTCCCCTGCCAGAGAAGCTTCCGTTGCAGTTGCACCGGGGCGCTGGTGCAATTTGCTGCCCGACATCCGGAGATCGCCGTCGGAAGCCCAGCCAACTTTGCCAGGTTTAGGGTTTAGGGTTTTTAGTGTTTTTAGGGTTTTTAGGGTTTTAGGGTTTTTAGGGTTTTTAGGGTTTCGGGTTTAGGGTGTATTTAGGGTTTAGGGGGGAGGCCCTTGGGACATTGCATTTTTTCCCTTACAGGGTCTAAGAGGATCATATTCAGGAACATCTTTCGGAGGGGTTACGGGCCACCCTGGGTTAAGGGCGCTGGGCTTCAGAGCAGGACGGTCTTCTTCTGGAGTTCAAGTTGCAGGACCGGATGGCAACGTCTCAAGAGCCTTACAATAGCTTGGTTCCTATAGCTACTATTTGCTTTAGTTGCACAAGGGTGCAGGCCCAAGAAGGTGGTGCTGAGCCTTTGTGCTAGCGGCAGCGTCCAGCAACCTGGGAGACCAGTGGCAGGAGCTCGTTGCCTTGCCAAGAGGGGGTTCCGAGTTTGGGGTTTAGGGTTCAGGGTTTAGCAAAAGGGGTTCAGGGTTTAGGGTTCAGGGTTTAGGGTTTAGGGTTCAGGTTTAGGGTTTAGGGGCCACCAGAAAGTGCTCATGGCCAGCTGGAACGCTGTGCATCGCTGTGCCGCGTGCTCTGCGCGACCTACGCACTTGGTTGAAAATGTCGCCCAGACGGACGAGTGGGCCGATTGCTCCGTTCTGCCCGGAGATCTTGGCGTTTTCAAAGGTCACGTGCACGTGCCCGACCACAAACACCCAACCAGATTGTCCTCATTGAACGACCTTTTGCCTGTTTTGCATAGAAGGCCAGAGAAACTCACGTGCATGTGGGGCTCACCCAATTGCCCAAGGAACCCCCTGAACGCTATCTTCTGTGGGCTGGGGTCCTCTATGAACAGGTGCGCGTCGGGCATGATGATTGGCGGCATTGGCTCAGGACCGAGACATGCAAGGTTGAAGCAGTGAGAGCCGAGGAATGTCCCAGTCATTGCAAGGATTGGAAGCCTGTCAGGTTTTTAACGGGTGTGTGGACACCTGGTACGAGTAGGAGAACAGAATTCTGAGCCTTCAATCTGTGCGCCCTGTCCAGGCGGCTAGACCAGCACTGGGATCCCAATGATGCCAGAACCTCAGGTTCTTCTTGCTCTGCATCCTAAGTTGCGGCAGCCCACTCCTCGAGTTGCGATTTCAGGAGCGTCATCACCTCCTCTCCATCAACGCGCGTCAGCTTAGAGACCTGGACAAGAACATCGGAGAGGCGCCAAGCGCTTTTAGAGCTTCAGCGCCGTGGATTTTTGGGATACTATAACCCCCCGAAAGAACTGAAAGTGTACAGTTTTTTGCGGCTTATGAACTCAGCAAGTAAGTAGTTATGTAGAGATGAATCCAGGCCATCCCAGAGAACTATCGCATGGCGCCATGCGCTTAGATTCCCTGCTGGCAAAGCAGGATGCCCTGCAGTTGTAGGCCGGACAAGTCGTCTGCAGCCATCACAAAATGACTTGGCCCAAAATCCCCGCACAGCCCAAACTCCCCAACAGCTCCTGAGGCTGCGCGGCACATTGGGCGCCAGCGGCATCGCTGGTGACGGGCCTGTTGCTGCGCGAGGCCACGCGGTCTTTGAGCAGAGATTGGAGGGATGGGCCTTCTAGTACCAGCAGTGCGCACGTAGTTGAATGGAGCATTGGCTACGATGTGGTTGTCATACGTTGGGCTGGGTGAAGTAGCTAGCAATGGCCACAGCGACAGAGCTTCGTTGTGCAGTCATGGTGAATTGGTTTTGTTGCTCAAGACCGCATGAGCAGGTGTAGGCGTTGGGAAGGGGTTGTCCGGCCCCAATCCAACTTGCGAGCTTTGCACGGTGTTCTACTGCAGGCTCAACGCAAGCGCCTGCTGCAGGATACCCTGCTGTTAATGAGGCGCGGGTGCAGTGGGGTACATGAGATGCCTGACTGCCGACGGTGCCGTCTCTACACCTTCGTTCTGCTTTCAGCATCTGCACGGTAGACGGGGGACCTTGGTGGCCGCAGATGTCCAGGCACAAGGCTCAGTAACTTTGTATCATGCATGGTAGTTACTACCATTTTCATGTTTGTTTATGCCTTTTCCTCCGCTCTTGCTCCACTCCTCTCAGCATCCTCCCCCTTACGCCTGCCAACGAGGCCCTTCAAAAGGCCCTGTACGCTTCAGTGTCCGAGGAGAGTCGAAGCCCCCGAAGCCCCCCCAAGCTTTGGCACCTCCTCGGTTGAAGGCTGCTACGCAGCAAGGACCAGGTGGACCGCGCGCAGCGCCCATCCGGCAGACCTTCTACTGAACAGCGCGCCGTGCCTGCGGAAGGTTGAGAAATCTCGTGCCTGGCTCTTGCTGTCTTGCTGTTGCCTGCCGCCTCTTGAGCTTTCTGAGACATCGACCTTGCTATGTGGGGGTTTGCGAGCATAGGGGACTCCTAAGATACCCGCAAATAGTGGGATTCCTTCATAACAAGGAACTCAATAGAGGTGAAAAACATAAACACCCATGTCTCCAGCGGTATTCAGAGTAACCCTAAACCCTAAACCCTAAACCCCAAACCCTAAACCCCAAACCCATGGTGCTAACTGTTGAATGTGCCGCGTCGAGGCCGGAGTCCTGCCCGCCCAAGACCTGGAACAGGACCCCGGAGAATGACCCCAGGGTTTGGTTTAGGGTTTAGGGTTTAGGGTTTAGGGTTTAGGGTTTAGGGTTTAGGGTTTAGGGTTTAGGGTTTAGGGTTTAGGGTTTAGGGTTCATAGGGTATTAGGGCAGACTATCCTAGAAGACTTGCTCCGCTGCTGATCCCTTCATGCCTTGCACTGAGAAGCAGCAGTCCGCAGGTGGCAGCTCTTAGGATCAAGACTATAAGCACCCCTTACGAGCATCCCTGGCCATGGCAGGGGCCATGCCTTCAGTTCCTGTGCCATTGCCAGATGCCCTGAAGAAGGAGGCGGATGATGGGCAGAGTGATGGCAGCGAGTCCTTCCGCAGCTGTGCCAGCAACGGGAGTCGCGCGAGCAGTGTGGTGGAAGGCACCTCATCAGAGCCAGATTCAACGCAGGCTTTGCGAGCACAGTCGCCAGTAATTGCAGAGGGTGAGTTGCAGGAGGTCCTTTCCGAGCTGCAGGAGAAGTGGGGCGAATGTTGCGGGCTGTATGTGCATGGCTCGACCATCTTTGCCAATCAGCCTCCGCACGACCTGGACTTGATTGCAGTCATTGATCATGCGAAGCGCGAGGTGCCGCAAGACTCGCCAGACTCGCAGTTCACCCTGGGGCGTTGCGAGGTGTCTGTGTACGAGCGCAGCTGCTTCTTTGAGAAGCTGCTAGCCATGGACCTCACCATGCTGACTTGCCTCTCAACCCCAAAGCGCTTTGTGCTGAAAGAACTCCAGGACGAACGCCTGCAGAGCTTCAAAGTGGACCTGCGGCTGTTGGAGGAATCCGTCACCTCCTACGCAGAGTTCACCTGGCTGAAGGCTCAGAGGGTCTTGAACGACTGGAAAGATCCGTACAAGGCGAGCAAAAACGCCTACTTTGTCTTTCGGGTGCTGGAGTTCGGCTGCCAGCTGGCAGATCATGGACGCATCGTCGATCTCAAGGCTGCCAATCATAAGTGGGATGTCATCAAGGACTTGTTCCAGACCCTCAATATCCAGCCGCAGGACGAGGCGCGAGCGGACGATTCATGCTATCTGCTATCGGCAGTCGCATCGCGACGTGTCGCAACCACCCGGTGGCTACATTTTGACAAGGGGGTCTGCGAGCCGGGTAGTAGCAACATGTAGCAACATGCTGCTGATGATGATGATGATGGTGATGATGCTGATGCTGATGCTGATGCTGATTCTGGTCGAATACCAATACGTACCAATCAAGTAATTTCGTGTTTTGGCACCTCTGTTGTGCTTCACTATGTACGTTTTCGTTCAATGGCCTGCAGGTTGCGTGTGTTCAGGACGCACGCATGCACGCACGCAAACGCTTTCGTTCTCCGATTTGTTTTGGATGAAAACTGCTGTCGCGCAAGCCATTTTTTGAGCCGCGAGAAACACAAGGAACTCAAGCCCGACGATAATTTATTCGGATCTCTGCAGCATGCGGCATTTCATATGTGCACGTCGTTGCTTCTCTGAGTTCTGCCATGCTCTGATGAGGACGTGATCGAATCCGTCCTGGGCCGCCACTTCAAAGCCTCCCTTGCGCGGTTTGAGGCCAAGGTGACGGCCGCACAAACTGCGCGCTCCGGACAGGTTTCGGAAAACTCTCAAATCCTGGAGCCCTCCGCCCCTCCCTCCTGGGACACCTGCGTCGTTTGCCTGGAGCCGACGAATGGGTGTGGAAAGAAGGAGCTTGATCAGCTGCTGGCGGCCCCATGTGAGCGCTCATGTGGTGCTGAGGTTGTCGACACATGGGTCCAGCTCGTGAACTGCCGACACTGCTTCCATACCAGCTGCATTGCTGATGCCGTCCGGGCCAGTCTCCAAGCCGACCGCGCCCTGCGGCATGCAGCCTGCCCAGTCTGCAGGGCATCAGTGGTTTTCGACTTTGAGGCGCGCGCGCTTCGAATGCCTGAGAGAGAGAGAGAGAGAGAGAGAGAGGCGAAGCTTAAGCCTACAAAGCTAATCATGAAGGTTCCAGGGCGTCCACATCAATTTGTGCATATGTGACATGTTGCATAGATTGGACATGTCCCAGCTTGCAGGCACGCGCCCAAATGAGCCAGAGACGCCGGAGGAAGCGCCGCATGTCCTTTGCGGGATACCCGGCCACCATCCGAAATCCAGCTGCGAACCGAAACGAGGACCGGCACAATGAGGATCGCGACCGGGACCGCGATCGCCACCGAGATGCCCACAGGAATAGAGCATTCGATCCAGTGCGAGACAGGGCAGCCAGGTGAAAGGCGGAGATTTGGCAAGCCCAGTAGCTGCACATATTATGTGCTTCGTGGGGTGCAAGACCGTTTTACAAGGATATACAAGGATTCACAGCGTGCCCAGCTTCCTGCAGATGTACAGTGTACAGTAGCCGCTCAAGACAGGTTGCTGGACGGCAGATAGCGCATCGTCAGAATGAAAAAAGCCCCCTGTTCACACACACACACACATCGCTGGGTTGCCATGGTAAATTACTGTGCGCTTTCACACCTGGCCACCTGGCAGGAACTAAAGCTTTGCGGCGTCGATGCTCTCGCGCCAAAACCCAGCTGCAAACTGGTATAGGATCAAAGCCACAACGCAGCCCTGCTGCCATGGAAAGCGAAGTGCTGTTTTCAGGCCACGACGACCCCGGCACCACCCCAGATATCTGGTCTGGTTGGGACCCTAGCTTCAGGTTTTTCAGGAGGCGCCTGCCGTTGGCGCGGAAGAGTGCATGCACTGCAAGTAGACTCACGAGGCCGCCGAAGCCAAGCAACGGGCGGAGGCAATAGCTGAGGCAAGGGAGCTTCGGGTCGGCTGTGAAACCATTCTCCCAGCACGAGTCTTAAGCCAACCCTAAACCCAAAAAAAACCCGCAACCGGAAACCCTAAACCCTAAACCCTAAACTACCCTAAACTGGCCCTAAACCCTAAACCCTAAACCCTAACCCTCCCTAAACCCTAAACCCTGGTCCCTAAAGCTGGATGGAGGTGGAGCAGGCTCTCCGCCCGACCCCATCCACCAACTCAGGCGCAGGCAGGGCCACGTTGGCACTTAGGTTCACTTTTTTCAGGCAATAATAACAATAATAATAATAATAGTAATAATCACAATAAGACATCATAACAATAAAGATAACAATATTAATACGAGTAATAATAGTATGCCAGCACATGTTCGGTGAATTCGCATGCAGGTGCTGCACGCAGATCTGTCACGCCAAGAGGCTCATGGGTGGACCAAAGCCTGATCTGAAACTTCACAAAGATACGATTGGCCTTGGCTTAAGTCAATCTGCACAGGTGATGGTGGGGCATCACCAGTGCCACAGAGCGCCGGCGGCCCCGCATAATCCTCGGATGATTTCGGATATCCCCGGTCTGCTCCAGAAACCTTCGCCAGACGCCTGTGCTAGTGGCAGTGGAGGTTCGCAGCCACTGGCCTCTCAGAGCCGAGTCAGATCTTTTACGATGCGGATGGGACGAATCGACGTTGAACCAGACTGTTTCGAGCAAAGCAGTAGACCCGACAGTCCGAAGTGTGCGAAAAAACCTACGGACAGTGTGCAAGAAGCTTTTACGGTCCGGAAAATCGTAAGACAGCGATCCTGACCATAGAACTAGGCAACTATGGTGCAAGCAATGAAATCTGTGAACTTGCCAAGGCTTGCTGGACGACTCGTAATTATTCGTAACACATAACGAAGAATGACCGCTTGGCCTGCGCGGGCATGACGGTTGGCGGTCTCCGCCGGTTGTTGCGCTGCCTGGGCGCGGGGCGGCGGAGATGCATCGTGCCCTGCTTTGATTCGAGCACCACTGCTCGGGGGTTTTAGACGCTCTCACTCCCTGTTTTCATCGTATTTCTTAGCTATTAATGAAGCAGACAGAGTGGTAATTGAGTTCAGTGGGTTGCCGAAGTCAAGAGCAGTGTGGATCACGGAACTGCTGGGATCGAAGGCGACCTCCTGGCTGAAGCGCCGCCGCTGAGTTGCAGACATGGCAGACATATTGGGGTTTACGAATTAGGGATCCCCAAAATAGAGCCCCAAATAGTAGGATTTCGGAAACCCCCATGTGCGAGTGATTGAAAATAGGTGCCATCTCTGAGCAAGGGGTCTTGCCATGTCGTATGCTCCGCACACCTCTAGGGAAGTTGGGGGTGGGACGGCAATTCACCGTTTGACAGAGTGTCCAGTGCATGAGAATACGAGGATGCTGCCGACGGCGGCCTGTTGCTTTGCGAATCACCTCGCCGCTTCCGGGCGCTGCAGACAAGGCCAACGTGCCTCCCTGCTTGCTTGCAGCTTCTTGTCATGTCGGCGCGAAATTGGTACTTGTTAACTCATTATAGCTGTAGGTATAACTGTACTTACGTGCCGTATATGGGCCGATTAAGTAGTGCCCTCGTAGGGCTGGGCAGTTGTGCAATCTGCTCACCTGTTCCGCCGGGAAGGAGGCGCTGCCCTGGCCGGAGGCGGCAGCAGCAAGACTTTAGGGTTTAGGGTTTAGGGTTTAGGGTTCAGGGTTCAGGATGTGTTTTGTGGGGGGTGCTGGCAAAGGATGCCTTATCAGGATCAGTATTCTTGGGAAGGGGTGGGTTCCCATAGCATAGAGGTCCGCGGGAAAAGGAGGGGGACCCCTGGTGGAAGGTCGAGGAGGGCGTAGAGGCCTGGCGTGGCCACTGCCCCTGCTGCAAGCGACCGCTGGCGCTTTCGCGTTCATCCCCCAGAGGTCCGAGGCGGGACGCGAGAACACAGAGGAACGAAATTCACGTTGCTTGTGCTCCCTCTCTGAATTTCGATGATGAACCTCAGACGGGTGCTTTCGATGCTTTTTTCTTCCCCTCCTTGTCTTGAAAGTTGTCGTGCATGCCCCTGTTAGCTTCACTTATGGTGCTGGTCATTCCATATGGAGCTTGCCTGGCTCACCCAGTGTGTGTCAAGAGCAGAGGCCATCTTTGCCAGCTGCGCGCGGCCGATTTGCCTACGTGATTAACCTGCAGCTGGGCTGGAGGGATGGGATCTGCCTATTTTGAGAATCGTTGGGACGGAGGTACTTTCGCTTCTCATTCCTCCACGGGCACACATTCCCTCTTGCGTCGTGCTTAGGTGGGGCCGGTCCAGCGAGTATGTGCTGGGTGCACTCGTCCTCGGGCATTCCATCAGGAGAAGTGGCTCAAAGCATGCACGGGTCTGTCTCTACGCCGACGACGTGCCCCCATCCTGCATAGCCCTGCTGTCGAGAATTTGGGACTGTCGGCCCGTGCAGCACATCGCGGTGGCTGCTGACAAGCTGGGGAACTTCATCCCAGGGCATCGCTTCGCAAAGGTCTTCACGAAGCTACGTGCCCTTGAGCTGGTGGAGTTCGAAAAGATCCTCGTGCTTGACATCGACATCTTCGTGTGCCCTGGCCTTTTCTGGCGGAAGCGTCTTGCATGCCGATCATTGCAACGGCTTCCTGGTGACGGCTGCACCCTGCTTATCCTGAGTTCGTGCAAGGCGAGGCAATGTCGACGAGCTGTTCCAGCACCAAGCGCCGGCTGCAATGCGACGGGGGATACACGAATGGAAAGCCCTCAAGACAGGCTGGCACTTGCAGCGTGGTTGCTCTGCTCTCGATCTGTCGAAAAGCGCCAGTTTGCGATTGAAAATCACAGCATCTGCAAGTGTCCAGGAGATGTCTTGGATGGCAGGGACTTCTTCATGGGCAGAGATTTCAGTGGTTGGTCCTGGGGTCAGGGCACAGGCCAGGCCGACTAAATCCACAAGGGCAGGGGGCATGGGGCAGTGTCATTGGCATGACCCTCAGCCCTTGCATTCCTCGAGGCATCAACGCCGGAGTCATGCTTCTGCAGCCTGACCTGGACGTGTTTCATGAGATGCTCAGCGAACTCGCTGACCCAAATCATCCGGAGCAGCTCGTGCAGCAATGAGACACAGCTTTAGAAAGGCATTAAGGATATTAAGGCGCCAAGACACCTAATGCCTGAGACACCCTCGGTTTTCCCCGATGCCACGAAAAAAACTCGAAGGCACTGCGTGGGCAACGGCCCCGAGCAGGATTGCTGCTGCTGTAGCCCTCGGCATTTGAAGTTGAAGTTTTGGATGTTTTTGAGGTTTGGAATATCGGCTTTGGCAATCAGTGCTTGATGGCTTACTACCGGCTGTCTTTCACTGCCTGGGCAGGACTACTTGAGCAGATTCTGGGCGGATGCACCGTGGCGACACATCGGCGTGGAATATAACTTTCAAATCCACCAGATGTTCCTCGCCCTCCATCCGGACAGGGTGCGTTGCTCAGCATACTCCCTAGACCCCCCCCAACTACTCGTATCCATTGAGATACCCTAGATGCCCCGCTTGTGGCTCCGCATGAAGAGGTACTTGGGAGGTTCAGGTCCATGAATGACCCTTTAGCCCTGGCGAGCTTATGCGTTTAGGGCTCGAGCTTGCATTAGGCTTTGCACAACTTTATGGGGGCCAGTAGGGCCTGTAAGCTTCCAGCAGACGAGTCTGGAGGTGTCTGGCGCACATCGGATCCGGCTCCTGCAGGTGGGTTTGGGGCTAGGGTTGTGTTGGCTCCTGTTCTCAAGCACATTGCCACATGTCGTCGGTGAGTGCTTGATATTGCTGTTGCCGGCACTTCCTTAGCTGGCCGGATGCAGCGACATCTCAAATTTCCCAAAAGAGCAGATGCGACGGCAAAGTGAGTGTGATCAGTTGACTACTCGTGCATTCCCAAACCCTTTGTCTCAGAATAGGGCAGTGCAAACGCATGCAAAGGGTGTGACGAGCATGCTCACCCTCGCTATCCCTGGTGTATCTGCCTTCCTCACCTAATCCAGCACATGTTCTTGCAATGGAAAGGCACGTACCGCCGCTGAATGGTCTTGCTACAAACGCTTCGGCCACTGCAGGATCAGGACCAGATAAAGATCGTGCACTTCTCGGGCGATGCCGGGACCTGAGTGGCGGAGCACATGATTGCTTGTGCAGTGCAGTTGTTCGTCCTATCGACCGGGGCAGAATCTGGGGAAGGTGGACCATCCAGAGGTTTTGCAGAACGGGCGTACTACTAAACCCGACCTAGACCTGAATGGCCCGACTTCTTCGTCATATGCTAATCGCCAACAAACGAAGTACCCCCCCAACAAAGAGAACACAACCCCACTGTCCAGGCAACCGCCCCTGCCTTGCATGGCTTCCAAGGACAAGGCAAAGCCTTGGCGACGCATTCTCGACGAAGGCTTGCCCGGCTTCTGGCCCGTGACCTGACTGAGCAAGCTTCGGGCCCCGAGTTCGGACCAGTGATCACAAGACATACAAGTATGTGTTTTTTTTGTATAGGTATTATAAGAAAAATAGATACAAATATGTAGATATAGAAAATAAAAAGTATACATCTCAGTATATAAGTATAGATACAAATACAATATATGTGTGTATGTATATATACACATATACATGTGCACGCCTGAACATCTAGGATTGCAGGCTCAGAAAGGCTGAGGGGATGCCTCCCTCACTCCTCTGTTGGCGGACTTGACTTCAGCATTTGGGCCCGCTACTACTTGCCTAAGAACTAAGAAGCCCCCCAAAAAATCAAGATATTCTTCCTTAGAAGGGTAGTATAGGTTTTGAGATTTTTTTACTATAATTTTGAGGGGGTCAAAGCAAATAGTAGTCCGGCGATGCTTCTCTCGAAGCATCCCGTAGCCTGCGGCTGTGCAGAGTTTTGTTGCCTCGCAATTTAAGCTGGCAGGTACATCCTAAACGAACCCTAAACCGTACCCTAAGCCAAAAAACATCCCAAAACTGCAGTGTGGTTGCGAGGCTGCTAGCGGCAAAAGGCCCCAGCACTCCATGAAGCCGTCCCTCAAGTCCCACAAGGGACGAATGCCGCTCCCTCGAAGCCTCCCAGGACAGGGCCAAGGATGGTGCGTTTCTGGACATGTTCCTGAGCTGCAGGGTTTAGAGCTTAGGGTTTAGGGAGAGGGTTTTGATTTCCCATCAATGCTTTTCGCTGGGGTTTAAAGCACAACTCGAAAGCACAACCCAGGTTCTTCCAGGAGTTCCAGGGCTACTGGCTGTGGGTGAAGAGAGACCTCGCAGCTGGGCCCGCAGCGCAAGGTGTGGGAGTGCTTCGCAGAATTTCCAGATTGGTTTCACAAGACACCCCCCCCCCCCCCCCCCACAAAAAAAAGAAAAGAAATACACCACGAATGAACACCAAATTGGAACACCACCCACCGACTTTCTGAGAGCATCTAGAGAAGTTGCTGCAAGTCTTGGGCGAGAGTTCAGGAATGGCTGGAGTCTTCCAAGCACGACCCGAATCGTGGATGGGAGTACGCGGAGTTGCACATCACAGACGACAAACAACTGTACAGGTGTGGATGTCATAGTACGCTTGCACAGCTTGCAGGCACAAGTGTGGCACAGCTTTGCAGGAAGCCTGCCAGTGGTGATGCTCCTCCTGTGTGTGTTACTCTGCCGCCAGAGGCCACTCCTTGTAAGGCTTCATGCAAGGCCGAGGCTTTTCCGTGACCGTTTCCGAAGACCCTTTCTGCCAGGTGGAGAAGTCAGTGGAGGTCTTCGTTCGCACCGTGCTTGACGACGCTCGCCTTCACCTCTTCTCCTTCGCTAGAGGGGTATTTTCACCCCCAAAATCGGGGCACCCCTCTTCTACCCCCCAAATAGAACAGAAACTCCTTAAAGGGGGCACCCCGAGTTTCTCACAGGGGGGCCACAGAGCCAAGAGGAGCCAAGGAGTGGTTCCAAGCCCTCCAGGAGTTGGAGGCCGACCTAAACTTGGACCTCCAGAAAGAGCTGCCAAGGCGGGGGGGGGCGCGTTTTTCTCGTCCTCGATCTCTGTGGTGTCTCTGTTGTCTTGTGGAGGTGCGTGCAAGCCGCAGAGTTGCCAGCCGAAGTTGCTGGAGGTACTCAAGGGCAATGACGTATAGTGTGCTCGCTTGTGCTGCAATTGCTGTACATGGTGGTTTGATGTGTCTAACGGTAGAGAATGCACATCGTATGTGTATGAAACCTTATGTGTATGTATACGGTATATGTATATGTAGACTGCACAATGCCGGCACAGTTTTCGGCATCCAGGTCCATCTGCTGCTGAGCCGCCGATCACCTTCGCGCACGACTGCCTTTTCACCTGGAAGAGAGATGCCGGGTGGTGGATGGAGGACGGCCGATCCTAGAAACCTGTGCATGAGACAGCTTGCAAGATTTCCGCTCGTGAAGGATGTGCCCACAGATCCCTGCTTCAAAGCGACTGCCGCTTGCCGTGCCAAGGTTCCTGTATTGACTGCAATGTCCTAGCCGCGAGTCACACGGTCCTAGTTCAGGGGCTGAGGGTATGGATTCCAAAACTGTGCTGTCACTTCGTGGAAGTGGATAGCCGTAGCGGGCATATGGGGCATAAATGGGCATAATGTTGACCTCGAATTAATAACCCCCCCCCCCCCCGTCTCAACTGTTTTTGTTTTCGCCCCGGGCTTGGGATTCCTTAATTGAGGGGGGGTTTTTAAATCTGAGGTTAACAGTACAGGGTATGCGAAGCACACCTCACTGCCAAGCCGAAAAAGCCCCTCACCCCAGACATCCCGAGGCCTTCGGCAGAGCAGCGGAAGAACCTGTAGAACCTGCAGAGCACCCCAAAAAGGTGCATGATATACATGTCTCAATATGTAAATTTGATAAACTATCAAAAGCATAAAAAATATATATATATATATATGACTATAGTCACAAGGGAGAGGGAGAGGGAGAGAGAGAGGGCGCCGTGGCCGGGGTCGCCTTTCGGGGGAAGAAGAAGTAGAGGAGGAAGAGGAGGAAGAGGAAGAAGAGGAAGCGGAAGCGGAAGGTCCAGCTAAGAAAGAAAGCAGCAAAGTGCGAGCTAGCACGCGGTTTGCGGATGAAGCGGGGTTTGTTTAGGGCAGTCTGCAAGTTCGGGGAAAGATGCGCTGTCGCTGCAAGGTGTCCACTGCCAAGTTCTGCCGCTGCCTTGATCGAAAACCCATGCTGGTCTCTTCGATTTGCGCTTGAGGTGATTTGCAGTGCCGTGGAAGGCGCCGCATCCATCACCTTTCTGGAGGAGCGTGTGGCTGTACTACGGGCTTCAATGGAAGGGGTTGCCTTTGTTCCGTGGGTTAGTGACGACTCGTGCCAGCCCCAAGACTGAAAGGTTGCACTAGGTTGTACTCGTTTAGGCTTCAAGGTTTAGGGTTTAGGGTTTGAGTGCACGGAAGCATGAGTGCCACTACGTTCTCCATTCGGCGCTGCCTTCCCACATTCCCTTGCAGGATGGTGTCGCGACGCTGTGTGCCTATCCAGAGAGCGGCGCAGGCAAGCTGAAACTGAAGTGGAGCCTCGCTGAGATGTCCGAGTTTAGAAAGAACATGTGTGAAGCTGTTTTGAAAATTTTTGAAACCGATCACTGCTCAAGCTAATTTTTCGTTCCACACACAGTGAGACGAGTCAGATCTTCCCTCATTTTCGTAGAGAGCTCCCGGATGGCGGTGGTAAGCAAGATGGCACGCTCGAACGGGCGAGCGGCGCTTGCCAGCGCTGCAGCAGCTGCCGCACTTTTGGCGGCTCCCGGTTTCATCGCTGTTCCCGGACAGGATGCACCGCGCCAGATGCAGGCGACCCACAGCCAAGTCGGCAGCACAGCCTCAGCGAGCGACGAGGCCAGGAACCTGAACGTCGCTGCTGGCGTCAGCGCTGTGGGGATGGGCGCTGTGGCGGCGCTGGGGTCCCGCCGCGCCGCGGCCAAGCGCAGCAAAAAAGCGGCTGTGGCTCTGCGGGCCAATCGCGATGGCCCGGAAGGTCTCCCTGAGCTCGTGGCCCTGGCTGAGCAGCTTCTTCGGCAGCCCGAGCCGGAGCAGCTCTCGCGTCTCCTGCAGCAGCTTCAGGCTTTTGCCGCTGCCGAGCTCCGCCGAGGCGCGGCGCTCTCGGCACCGGCTGCACGGGCTTTTGCGGAGGTCGCCGCCGGCGACGCCCTGCGCGGAGGCGCCGAGAAGCAGCTTCGCTGGGCTGCTGGCGCTGCCGCCTCCCTGCTTTTGACTTACAGCGTCGGGCTGCAGCCTGCAATGGCGGCGGATGTCGTCAACTACTCGGACTTCATGGAGTCGGTGCAACGCGGTGATGTGGAAATGGTGCGGGTCCAGGATGATCAGCTCTCTGCACAGTACACCACAAAAGATGGTGCTCGCCATGAGGTGAACTTGATCCCCAATGCGCAGATTGAGGACCAGCTGTTCAACACCCTTGCACAGAAGAAGGTTGATGTGGTCATGCAGAGCCCTGGGGCCAACAGCGGAGGGCCTCTCGACTTCTTGGCACGCTTTGCAGGACCCATTGCCTGGCTGATTGCAGGCCTTCTGATCCTCTTCGGAGGCGCTGGCATGGGAGGCCCTGCAGGACCTGGAGGCCCAGGTGGAAATCCCTTTGAGCTGGGCAAGTCGAAGGCTCGAATCATCAAGGACGGGGACACCAAGGTCAAGTTCGGGGACGTTGCCGGTTGTGACGGGGCCAAGCAGGAGTTGGTGGAGGTCGTTGACTTTCTGAAGAACACCTCGCGCTACTCCGAGCTCGGTGCCAAGATTCCCAAGGGTGCTCTGCTTGTCGGCCCACCTGGTACCGGAAAGACGCTGCTGGCAAAGGCCGTGGCTGGTGAAGCGGGTGTTCCCTTCTTCAGCATCTCCGCCTCGGAGTTTGTGGAGATCTTTGCGGGGATTGGTGCCTCGCGCGTGCGTGACCTCTTCGAGCAGGCCAAGAAGTCGGCTCCCTGCATCATCTTCATCGACGAGATTGATGCTGTCGGTCGCCAGCGCAGCGCGGGCTTCGGCCAGGGCAACGACGAGCGCGAGCAGACAGTGAACCAGCTGCTGACTGAGATGGATGGCTTCGAGGCGAACAAGGGCGTCGTGGTGATCGCGGCCACCAACCGAGCAGACATCCTGGATCAAGCCTTGGTGCGCCCGGGACGATTCGATCGCCAAATCCAGGTCGCGTGAGTTTCTCTCGTACTTAAGAGGAAGCATAGCCGTGCAAGGCATCAAGTAATCTGATGCGCTGATGCAGGGGGAGCGATTTAGGGTCAGATGGAATTGGACAGTAACATCCCAATCTTGGCCAGTTACCGCCTCAGTCCACGTGCAAAGACTTGCAAAGACAACCCTGCTTCAGGTGGATCCTCCTGATGTCCAAGGCCGTGCCGAAATCCTGAAAGTGCATGCCAAGGGAAAGAATCTGGCACCAGGCGTCGACCTTTCGGCCATTGCACGGCAGACGCCGGGCATGTCTGGCGCGGACCTGGCGAACTTGCTGAACGAGGGTGCCATCGTGGCGGCCCGCCAGAACAAGGCAGAGGTCGACTCTGACGACATCTTCAATGCGCTCGAGCGCATCGCCATTGGCCTGGAGAAGAAGGATGCCGTCATGTCTGAGCAGAAGAAGAAGCTTGTGGCCTACCACGAGGCCGGTCATGCCATCTTGGGCGCACTGATGAACGACTACGATGTTGTGGCGAAGATCAGCATTGTTCCGCGTGGGCCCGCTGGTGGCGTGACGATCTTCATGCCTTCAGAAGACAGGCTCAACTCCGGACTTTACTCGAAGGAGTTCTTGGAGAATCGTATGTGCGTCGCGCTCGGCGGGCGGCTCGCGGAGGAGATCATCAACGGCAAGGACAACGTCACCACCGGTGCTTCCAACGATTTCCAGCAATGCACCCAAGTCGCCAAGCAGATGGTGATGTCCCTGGGCATGTCCCCAGAGATCGGACAGCGACTCCTCGGAGGCCAGCAGGGCGGTGGCCCTTTCATGGGCCGTGACTTCATGGGTCAGGGTGCCCCGCCCATGTCGCAAGCGCTGAAGCAGACGGTGGATAGTGAGGTCAAGCGAATTGTGGATGAACAGTATCAGCGTGGCATGAAGCTGCTGCGCGACAACATGTACCTCCTGGACGAGCTTGCAAAGCAGCTCATGGAGGAGGAGAAGGTGTCTGGTGAGCAGCTGATGAAGCTGATCAACAAGGCAGCTGCAGACGGCAAGCTCGTCATGGGCAACACCAAAATGGCGGTTGCTGCATACACCGGCGAGGTCATCGAATCAACAACTGAGGTTTCTTTGCCTCGCAAGTCGCAATGTGTTCATCCGGACAAGCCGATGATGTTCCTCGGCAGCTACGGAGAAGTTTGGACAGTTGGTTTTGCTAAGATAGCTAACAGCTAATTGTTCTAAGCCGCTGAGCTCTCCATGCAATGGACATACGTAGTGGAACAGAAGACTTCCAACACTCTTGCAACGTATCCCGATGCCAGGTTTGCATGTGCCGACTGCCCCCGCCGCGGCTTCTGCGGCTCCACGCGTGCTGCGCCACAGGGTGGCAAGGCTGCGCGCAGTGCCATTGCTCGACTTGGACTGGCGACTCCCGAGGCCGAGAGCCGAGAGTCCACCAGCGAAGAGGTTCTGCGCCGAGTCAAGGACATGGCTGCCGAAGCCTCCGCGGGCGCAGCGCTGCCCGACACCGTGGTAAAGCACGCCGCTGTGCAGGTCCTCGCCGCCCTGGCCGCCACCGCGGCGCCTTTGGCGGCCAAGGCGGACGACGTGCCGGCGCTGCAGACCATGGAGGCGCCGCAGATGCAGATGCAGCAGCCCGGAGGAGGTGGCTTTCAGCGGGTCACTGGCCGTGTGACGTACTCGCGGCTCCTCGAGTTCGTGGATGAGGGCTCCGTGAAGCGCGTGGACTTCTACGACCTGGGTCGAACAGCTGTAGCCACCGTCTCCGTGGGAGGTCGTGAGCAACAACTTGTTTGCGATCTGCCTGGGGCCACCACAGGCCTCATCGAGAAGCTCACGGCCAAAGGTATCTCCATCGAGGTTCACCAGCCTGAGAAGCCAAACCCACTATTCAACGTGCTGGGTGATGTTGCGCTGCCGCTGCTGCTGATCGCTGGCCTGCTCTTCCTGCGCTCCCGTGCACCGGGCGGCGGTGGCGGCATCCCGGGTTTCGGGAACCAGGGCCAGGCCAAGATCATGATCACGCCTGAGACCGGCGTGAAGTTCGAAGATGTGGCCGGTATCGACGAGGCTAAGGAGGAGCTCATGGAGATCGTTGACTTCCTGAAGGCACCGGAGAGGTTTGTCAAGGTCGGTGCGAAGATCCCCCGCGGCGTGCTGCTGACGGGCCCGCCAGGCACCGGTAAGACGCTGATGGCGAAGGCACTGGCCGGTGAGTCGGGCGTGCCGTTCATCCAGTCATCTGCCTCTGAGTTCATCGAGCTCTTCGTGGGCGTCGGTGCCTCGCGCGTGCGAGACATTTTCAAGCAGGCCAAGGAGAAGGCGCCGTGCATCGTGTTCATCGACGAGATCGATGCCATCGGCCGCCAGCGCGGTGCCGGCATGGGTGGTGGCAACGACGAGCGCGAGCAGACGCTGAATCAGATCCTCACCGAGATGGATGGTTTCGAGGGCAACAGTGGCGTCATCGTTGTTGCGGCCACCAACAGGCCTGTTGTCTAAACAAGAAGACAGCTCTGACTTCTTGCCGTTGTTTGCCAGTACACATCACCTGACCAGGTCTGACATCCTTGACAACGCCTTGCTACGCCCTGGCCGCTTCGACCGCCGGGTGCAGGTCGGCCTCCCGGACGTCAAGGGCCGTGCACAGATCCTTGAGGTCCATGTCAAGAACAAGAAGCTGGACGGTGAGATCACGCTGATGGACATCGCCAAGCGCACCGCCGGCTTTTCGGGCGCTGATCTGGAGAACCTCATGAACGAGTCGGCGATCCTGGCCGCCCGGCGCAACAAGAAGGCCATCAGCATGGATGAGATCAACGATGCCACGGACCGGGTCATTGCTGGCCTTGAGGGCCGGGCTCTGCAGGAGAATGTTCAACAAGTATGAGGTGTTTCCGCAGCTCTTCTTCTCCTGTTTTGTCTCGTTGTAGATTCACAAACAGATTCACTCCACACAGGACAACGCAGCCAAGAAGCTCATCGCGTACCACGAAGCCGGACACGCCATTGTCGGCACCCTGCTCCCGTACCACGACCCTGTCAACAAGGTGACCCTGATCCCACGCGGGCAGGCCAAGGGCCTCACCTGGTTCACACCCGGTGAGGACCTGCAGCGATGAAGTGCGGGGGCACGCGCAGCTGTCGTGTAAGTTAGTTCAAAGTGGCGAGCAGCCACCAAGCAGACATATGCACACGTCGTGAGTCCTGTAAAAAGAGCGCTACTAAAGATCATCCGCAAGGACCAGAGCCTCATCTCGGCAGCCATGCTGAAGGCCCGCATTGCCGGTGCTTTGGGCGGACGTGCGGCCGAGCAGTTGGTGTTTGGAACCAACCAGGTGCACCAGCATCAGAGTCATTTTGCGTCTTTCACTTCGCTGTGCATTGTACAGCGCGTGAGCAAGGGGATGAAGGGACAATGAAAGGACTAAGAACAGAGGTACACACTGTGGGGTCAATGATCGCATGTGACCGTCCGGCCCCGAAATGCCCCGAGTAAGGACAGTGCCACGTCACTACAAGACGCATGCCACGAGCCCCCATTGTTCCACGTTGAAACGAACGAGCAGTCGAGACAATCGTTGATGTCGGGGAGCGGGGCTGTCGCGGTACATGGCAAATGCCTCGGCCTTTCCGTGAATTATAACCCGCTTCCTCCCTATAGCCCACATGAACCCAGGCGATGCTTATCTCCCAAAATGGGGGTGTACGAAAATTGGGACCCTAAAATAGCCGCCCATAGGATTCCCTTATAATAAGGGCCCCAATAAGGTACTACCCGTTACTACCCTAAACCCTAATCTTATAATAACAGGTACCCCGAAACCCTGAACCCTAAACCCTGAACCCGCGCTCAGCTGCTCAGACTCAGAGATCGTGCCGAGTAAACCCTAAACCATCTACACTCAGGTGACCACCGGCGCCGGCGGCGACCTCCAGCAGGTCGAGCGCATGGCCCGAGTGCACACCTCAGGGGGTAGGGTTTAGGGCTATAAACCCTAAGCCCTAAACCCTGGGGAAGTTTAGGGTGTGTAGAGTTCAGGGTCTAGGGTGCAGGGTTCAGGACCTCAGGGAGAGGATGAACCCTGCAAGGATTCGGGGTTGCGTGCTTGAAATCGGCACATCCGCAGACATGAGGATAGACAATCGCAGATCCTGCTTTTGTTTCCTTTAGCCCCCAAACCAAGAAAAGATTAGGACCGCAGTCCGCAGGAGGAGTTTTCACAGCCCTCCCAACTTTTGGAGCTTAGGCCATGGTAACCCAGTTTGGCATGTCGGAAGTCGGCTCCCTTGCCATCGATGACGGTGGCTTCATGGGCCCCGACTACTCAGAGGAGCTGAGCGCAAAGATCGACACGGCCATCAAGGAGATCTCGGACGACTGCTACCTCAATGCCCTCAACATCTTGATGACCAACCGCGCATGCCTGGACCGCGTGGCCGATGAGCTGACCGAACTGGAGACCATGACGGGCGATCGCCTTCGTGAGATCATTGCTGAGTATGCGGAAATCCCTGAAAAGCTTGCGGCTGTGTGAGGCCCAAAGCGCTCTCGACAATTGGTGGATAGCTCGTGAGACCTTTAAACTTGGAGGCTCATGGCTCGTCATGACTCTGTCTATCACTGCTCCTACATCGCAGCTTTTGCTTACCCCTAAACCCTAAACCCTAAACCCCAAACCCTAAACCCTAAACCCTAAACCCTAAACCCTAGACTATCCATGAACCTCCAAGTAGCTTCAGGACTCCTTTTGCGGTAGCCTGGGGCTCCCGCACCGAGGCTCGTTGAGTTTGAACCCCAGGATGGCTAATCCTGCGTACAGAGCTTCTCTCTCCCTGTGCGGCCCATTTTTTGGTGATCGGTTTAAGTACAGTTCTAAGTGTTTCAAGCAATTTTCGGCCATGGTCCACTGACAGCAGCTGTCGGAGCTTGAGTTGAAAGAGCAGGAAGCTGAACATGCTGCGACGCCTTCGCGGGATCCTCCCTGTCAACGGACCCGGTTGCCAGTTCGGGATGCAATGAGAAGCGCTCCCCTGTTCGATTTCTGAAAACCAGAAACAAGACCATTGGTTCTTTCCTGCGCGACTCGCAGCCTTTGACAAAACTGCCAGCCTATCATTTAGCTTTGAATGAGTGCGTGCGAGAGAGGGAGTCTGCACGCGCGCGCGCGCGCGCGCGCGCGCGCGCGCGCGCGTATGTGTGTGAGCTGAGAGCTTATGCATGAGTCGAATTTTCCCGCAGGGGGATTGGGCCTGATGCTTCTACCCAATCCAACGAAGCTATGAAGCATCAGGGGATGTGGAGTTTGGCCAGCTCCATGTACCTGCAATGTTTTCCAGGAGTCCCGATGGGATTCCCCTATACTGAGGTCTCTCCTGTACTGAGGTCTCTCCAGTCATCTCCAGTCAGTGTACCATTGTACAACAATCCCTGGCTGACCTCCCTCTCTCCGTGTGTGGGCTTCGTCGCCCAAGGGCAATTTACCCGTTTGGGCATTGCCTGATTCCTGGATGGGGATCACCCAAGTAAACAGAGAGGCTTCAGTGCCAGATGAGCCTTGGTAGGCACCCAGTGCTATGAGCGGATTCTCTCTCTCTCTCGACCAGCCACGGCTGAAGCTCAAAGTCGCCAATAAGGGCGGAACCGGAAATTGTTGAAGGGCGTCGTAAGCCCAGTCGTGAGACATAGACGAGGTGGTCTAACTCTCTATTCGTGGGTCTCGACCCGAGTCGTATTTCCGGTGGTTGCCCCTCAGTTGCAAATAGACCGTTTTCTTTCTTTAAAAGTAGAGGTGCTCTGGGTCGCTGTGGACAGCGGGGGCCTCCTGGATGCTCCTGGGTCCTTTGTGGCAGCTGGGGGTCCTCCACGACGACGACGATGATGGAAGGTGACTTGGGTCAAGGCGGTGGCAGCTGGGATCTCCCGGACGCTCCTGGGCCTGTCATGGCAGCTGGAGGTCTCTGACGACGATGATGACGACGACACTAAGGATTTCTAAGGTCGGTGCTGGAGGAGGAGGGCCTATGGCGGTGACGGGCCTATGGCGGAGGACTCACCGGTGACAAAGGTACAAGACCAGGACTTTCCCTCTTCGGAGGGTGTGCGTGCAGCATATCTCTTGTGGCCTTGGAATGCACTGTGTCTCCCCTCGTAGGAGGGGTGTGTGTGTGTGTGTGTGTGTAAACCCTGATTCTAAGCTAAGGGGCTTGGAGCTGAGAGCTTATGCATGAGTCGAATTTTCCCGCAGGGGGATTGGGCCTGATGCTTCTACCCAATCCAACGAAGCTATGAAGCATCAGGGGATGTGGAGTTTGGCCAGCTCCATGTACCTGCAATGTTTTCCAGGAGTCCCGATGGGATTCCCCTATGCTGAGGTCTCTCCTGTACTGAGGTCTCTCCAGTCATCTCCAGTCAGTGTACCATTGTACAACAATCTCTGGCTGACCTCCCTCTCTCCGTGTGTGTGTGTGTGTGTGTGTGTGTGTGTGTGTGTGTGTGTGTGTGTGTGTGTGTGTGTGTGTGTGTGTGTGTGTGTGTGTGTGTGTGTGTGTGTGTGTGTGTGTGTGTGTGTGTGTGTGTGTTTTTGTCTTTTTTGTCTGCGTCCGTCTGTCTGCCTGCCTGTCTCTGTGTGCGTGTGCGCGGGACGCGTGTTTAAGCACAGCCGTCCAATCTCCTCCATTCCAGGGCCTGCGGAGCCACTCCCGTCAGGCCTTTTCGCGAAGGTCGCCGGCGAGGACCGGGTGGAGGTAGAGGCTGCCGCAGTGGCCAGCTGGGCAGAGACCCTCCCACCAGGCACCTTGGCACCATGACTGGGCACATCGGGGGGGGGGGGGATCTTAGGATGGTTGGGTTACCCTAAACCCTAAAACCCTAAACCCTAAACCCTAAACCCTAGGGCTTTAGATCCTTCCCTGCAAAGCATGCGCTGCACCCTTGATGAGCACGCGCATGAACTGACAGGAGCACCTCTGATGCTTGCGGCGTTCGGCTCCGATGAAACCCTGCTGCAGGCCAACCATGGCCAGGGTTTAGGGTTTAGGGTTTAGGGTTTAGGGTTTAGGGTTTAGGGTTTAGGGTTTAGAGTTGCAAAAAGGGTTTAGGGTTTAGGAAGCTTGGGCAAACAGGGACGTCCTGAAGGTTTGCAGGGGGGGGAATTCTGGAAAACGGAGTTTGTCTTTCAGAGGTTCTCCCGAAACCAGGGAGCTTTCCTGGTTTTGTAGGGCGAGTCCCACAGTTTTCCAGGGTGCGTAAAGGTCACACTTCGGATGTAGTTTGTTTAGGGAGGAGACACGGAGGCCTTCCTTTCCTGGGCAGATTCATGTCCAGGAAGGCAGTGGGTTTAGGGTTTAGGGTTTAGAGTTGGCTGCATTGAAGGCCATGGCTCCCTTGGGCCTTCCACCGCCACACGCCCCCTGCCGAGCCTTTGCTGCTGTGGGCCAAGCCAAGTCCTGGGTGACGCACGCGTCCTGGGAAACTTGCTTCGCAGTAGTCAGTGGGGAAAACATGGGAGAACCATTCTTCCCCATTTTTTTCTTGGACGATCCTGTGGCGTGTCTGCTGAGCGTTCGCGGCCCAGCTGAGGACGCTGCCTACGTTTCCGTTCCTTTGCGCCGCACCCGCAGCGCTCTCCCGGGGTGATCGCTTAAGTCAGAGCGTGGAAAAGTGGAGGTCCAGCTGCGCGCGTGCAACGCCTCGAGTCTCCCCAGACTTCTGAACTCCCAGAGTCCGAAACGAACCATCAGCACATGAACGACTTGTGACCCGCAGAGCTCAGATTTGATAAGTTGATGCGCTTCAGCCCACGCAGTGCTTGAAATTCCTTGGAGCCTTGCTGAGGATTTTGGAGCGGGTTGGCTGCCCTCAAATAACTCGTCCAGCCATCCAGGCCCTTCGGCGCTCCCAGTCCGTGCGAGGCCCAAGCCCGCGACGAGGCACTCCTCTCACTGTCAGGGTTTAGGGTTTAGGGTTTGGGGTTTAAATGCCGGCATGCCCCTCAGCCCGTGCTCAAAAAAGGGTTTAAAGAGCATTGGAAGTGTCACGTTCGTCGTCGCCATCGGTCGTTGGCGGTCGGTCCTTGTCGTCGGTTGTGCGTCCTCGGTCGCATGTCGTCGGCCGTCGCCATCGTGCTCGCAGTGTTCGTAGTGGTGCTGGTGGGAAAATGTCGGAGTACAGTAGCCGTCTAATATGCAGCAGGGCGATGCTAGATGCTGAGAAAATTGAGTTGTTGCATGCAATCGCTGGGCTTAGGACAAATGTATGACATCATTGGCTGGGCATTAACCGACACTGCCATATGCACACCTCTTCCAGTCAGGATGCAAAGTCAGGAATCAAGCATAGAGCAAGATCTCCCCACTTGATCCTAGCTGAGAGCGACGTACTTTAGGTAGATTGGGCCATGCGGCATGCGTTTCGGATCCTTTTGCAGCTGGCCCTGGCCGGTTGGCCTGCGTTCGCAGACCTCGACGCTTGCCGGCCTGGAGCACTCAAGCGGATAGCATGCACCTCCACCTCCTCCCTGTATGTTCGACACATCTTGACACCTCAACGTGCTTATTTTAATGAGACGCACACAGTCCCGTTGAGACGAGGTCATGGGTGCTTATTTTAATCTCATGTAATAGTATAATCACAAACGATAAATATATGCAATATCATGCGTTGCAATAGAATATAATATAGCCCTTTGCGACATGTCTGGGAGGAAAGCTAGACGGGGAGTGCTCTGGTCTCCAGCCTCTCCACGGGCCGGCCCCTGCCCCAAAACCTGACCTGAGCCTCCAAGAAGAGTCCAGCTTGCATGTCGAAGTCAAGTCGCCATATCCATCATCTGATTAGAGTACAAGAGTACTTCAGTATGTAATTTTGCGGATGGAATCTTATAGTGTAGGTAGCTATTGCAGAACTTCTTCATTTTCTTGCTGATTTAGTAGTTTATGATGAGGACCCTACATCATCGGATGTTTCTTAGTCCGGTATGCGCTTGCCATGTCATCTTGTTTTGCTATTGCTTGGTTCTCTGAGCTTACCGAATCGCTGTACTGTTTTCTGATTTTGTACGCCGTTGTCTTGTTGTCATTTCCGGTAGTACTGCAAAATGGCAAGCCATTGTTTTCCTACTCTTAAACACTAGTGCATGTTACATGTTCAAAGATTGCTGCATTTTACATGGGTCTTCAAATTCAGCCCAGACATCCTCCCCCCGCCCCTCTTTCCAACGCCAAGGAGCGCGAGCTCTACAACCAGGCCAAGCAGAGCGCTCGACTTGCAAAGGTCGAGGCCAGCCCAAGGGAGATCTTGGAGACTTGCCAGGAAGTCCCTATGTCGTCAGGGTTTCCGAACATACCGGTACCATTTTTGGGGGGGTCCCTGTTAAAGGGAATTCTATTCCGTTTGCCATATCTTGGGAGATACCCAGGCTTAGGCATCAACCTGACACTTTTTCACTGAAACGTTATGGCACCTCAGGGAAGTCTTGCAGTCTCGCTTTTTTTGGCCTTAAGCGGTTTAGGGTTTAGGGTTTGTGTTGCCGCACGGGGAATTGGAGAAGTGGCATCACTTGGGGTCACAACCGCGGAGCCCCTGTCTCCGAGAGTACTCAAAGCTGCCTGCTTAGGAATTTCTCACCACCAAGCGGCGGACCGCCAATGTCGCGCTCCTCCTGCATGATGCGAACTGCCCACACTGTCGAAAAGCCTTGCCAGAGCTGGACCGCGTTGCGGAGAGCTTCCAGTCAGGAACAGCCACTTGCGCCCGATAATTTCTGCGCCTGCTGATCAGGCCTTGCCGTGCGTTCAACCTCTGAACTCTAAACCCCAAGCCCGCAGCTATGCGGGTGCCCATAAAACAACCCTAAACGATTGCTCTGGACATCTGAGGTGGTCTTTGCGCATGTCGACTGCACCCACAACAAGGGCGCCATGCAGAGCGAATTCAACTTGAAGGGCTTCCCAGGCTTCTTATTCTGGAGACAAAGCGATCCGATAGATGATCTGGTGGGCCAAGTCTTTGCCACTTGGCTCAGAGGAGTATTGCGAGAAAAAACACAAATATAAATATTACCTATATGATAAGTATAAATACAATTGATGTAAATAAATAAATACATATATATGTATATATATATATATTTATTATAAGTATTGATATAAATGGCAGTAAGTTTCAATGATATATATATATATATATCAACCAAAATGAATAAATCAAAAATAAATACTCGAATAAATAAGCAAACTATACATATATATGATATGTACATATATTATATTATATTATATTATATTATATTATATTATATTATATTATATTATATTATATTATATTATATTATATTATATTATATTATATTATATATTATAATATATATATATATATATATTATAATGCATGTATATAAATATATATTATATTCTCATAAACTTATATATCATAGTTGCATATATCATGCGGATTGAAAAACTCCGTTCTTACGGTTGCTAGCATGCAGCTGTCCCATGGTTGTCCCATGGTGGCCATCCAAGGTAATCGACAGTGATGTGGATTTCATTCTGCGGGCGAGCCGCCTTTCTGAGATTGGCAAGGAGCCAACTGTCAAATGTGCAAGGAGATTATTGCCCGTCTTTAAGACCTCGACCTCGGAACTTGGAATACACGCATGTGCCGTGATTGCCAAGCTTGTCAGGAGCGTGACGGAGCTCGTCGCGCGCTGGCTGGAGCGCAGGTCACGGTGAAGGCCGTGGACGGCAAGGACATGACCGTGCAGGCTGTGGGTAGTAGAACAGACCAGCGCACGGTGAGCGGCCAAACTTCCTCTTTTTGAGCTGCTGCACCTCGTTGTTTTCACACAGGTGGAAGGCCCCCGAAACCAGCTGGTCTGGATACCACACGAAACTCTTCTGCAGCAGGGCCGACGCTTGCCATACAGGCCACGGGCAAAAGGTGCCTGCATCACATTGCTACATCAGTCCGGTGTGTGGTGTTGCAGGCGGGGAGATGGGGTGGCACGGTATCACAACGTTTGGGAGAAGGACGTGCTTGTCCGGGGGCGAAACCTTCTTGCATGCTTCTGGCAGACCCAGTCCACTCGGACACCCACTTTCAGCCACTGCTCCACTGCTGCAGGAACCCATGACTCAGTTTTTGCAGAGGATGACACAGCCACTGGTGCGGGCCTTACTCGAACCTGGCTCATTGCCCCTCCCCCCGTTACCCCATACTAGTGCCTGCCGCAGGCCTACTTTGTCAAAATGAGTACACACGTGCTGGTCCCAGCATGGAGTGCAGGACCTGTCCTTATCAAGGCGGACCACCCCGTTAGAAATGTAAGATGTTTTACTTACAATTATCATAACTGGCGTCCGAGGAGTGCCGCAAATCAGGGGGGCCCAAGTTGTAAATTACAATTTCAGCATCCCCCCTCTCTAATTGGTTGGGGGTCAAGGCGGATGAAGCACGTGTATCGTGAACAGCTGCATCTAGCTGGAGACACATCCAGACTAGAGGGCGGTTGATTGGTCTGCCCAGAGGGTTGACGAACAAAAAGGTCTGTGCAGAAAAAACAAAACCTAAGCCTTAAACCCCCCCCCCCCCCCCCCCCCCCAAAAAAAAAAAAAACAAAAGAAGAGAGAAAAATCACAAAAGGTCACCAGCCTCCCCTCGGCCTCCTGGGCCGACTTGGCGGGGGAAGGGCCGGCTGTCCTCCTCTGTGCTGGGACGCTGACTCGGGGATTCCTCGAGGCTCGGGGCTGCATGCGGGCTGTGGGCTTGCAGGACGTCAGTGTGATATGCTGCTGCATATTTCTATAATCACGAAAGCTAGCTCCTTGGAGCTCGCGAGAGTTGTCGTTTACAAGAATTCTCTCTAGTGTTCAGCTGGGTCAAGAAGCGACTCCGACCCTTAAGTGGTCTGAAAATCAAAGAGATAAACGGCTGTGGAGGGGGGGGGGGGCCCCCCCTCCCCCCCCTTATAAGGTGTCCCTGTATTGATTTCTGGGGAGGGGGGGGGGCCCCCCCTTTTTGTTTTGGGCCCCCCCCCCACCCCTTTTCAGGCTTCCCCCTCCGTCTTGGTCAGGCCCTGCTGTCGAGCTGTAAGGCCCCGGGATGAGCATTCGAATCCGCAGCTTCCGACAGCTCTTAGTGCGACCGCTGCGTGTCCCATCCTTTCGTTTTGCTTACAGTTCAGAGTTTGCAGCGTTGTTTTGTGATCCCCTTGGGTCTGGTGCAGATCATAGCCGCGTTTCTAGCTTTCGTGGCCCCGATCTCAAGTTATAAATAAATAAATCAATGAATCAATAAATATATAAAAAGAATATATATATATATATATATATATATGTATAGCACATATGTATGTATACACACCATGTCATGCATACACATATGTATGACCTCTACACCATTCACTAGATGGTATGTATGCATGCATGTATGCTATTGTTAAATATGTAGTTGTGCGAGTATATCGTATGCTTCCCCAACCAGTGTGTCAACGCAACGGGGAACCAACGTTCACAGTAAAAGGGGCTAGATCGGCCAGCGTGCTGGGCGCGCCTGCTGCGGATCACGGCTGTGGCCTAGGTGCGGGCGTGGCCGCGCTTGCCGTCCTCGAAATGTCCTCGAAATGTCCTCGCAACTGTCATCGCTTTTGGGACTTCCGGGCTCGCGAAATGCGAGCTGTCATCGCTTTTGGACGATCCCAAACTGCCGTTTTTGGACTTCTGGGCTCACGTGGCCTCTCACTGTTTGCGGTCTACGCTGGCCTCCGGGCCTCCGGGCATCGATGCATGGTAACTCAATCATATTCGGCGCAGTGGGCTTGCAGTAGATGTGGAGGCTTGGCTTGCGCATGCTTGCGCCAGGCAGCCGTGACCCACCAGCTCTCCATGAGGGCCTACCACACGTCGGCAGAGTGCCCGCTTCAAGGAGCCAGTAGTCCCGGGAGTGAGCAAGTCGTGGTCTATGTGCCAGCGGCCATGCAGTGGGCCGCGGTGACGCTTGAGCTTTGGGAGTGTAGGAAAGGGGGTTGTTTTACCTGAATCCATGATTGCAGGCTTCCTTTGCCTAGATTCCTAGATGTCTAGGAGAAGCCAGAGAACCGCAGGCACCCCTTAGGCTTCAAGCGGGAAAAAACAGGGATGAAGAGAGCGCCGGCCTTGAATTCGTAAAACACCAAGGAAAGGGAGGGCCAGGGCGGCAGCAGCAGCGGCGGGTCCAGAGGCCGCCCTTTGAAAGTTTAACGCTCCCGACCAGCTGCTTTAGGGTTTAGGGTTTAGGGTTTAGGCCTCCAAAGTCCGTTGCTCAAAAAAGGGTTTAGGGTTTAGGGATGATATAAATAGAAAAGTCTGCAGGTCGTTCAGAATGATGGGGCGCTGCTCAAGTGGGTGTCCCGGCAGCCCGGCATCAGGTCGAAGCAAGCGCCCTTAGGCGGCGAAGGGCCAGCCTCAAGGGCTAAACTCCGGTTTGGGGTTTAGGGTTTAGGGGGTTTAGGGGGTTTAGGGGGTTTAGGGGGTTTAGGGGGTTTAGGTGGTTTAGGGTTTAGGTTTTAGGGTTTAGGATTTAGGGTTTAGGGTTTAGGGTTTAGGGCGTAGCAAAAGGGTTTAGGGTTTATTCCTAGCCTGCAGAAAGGTCAGCATGTGTTGTGAAAACAGCCCTCAGTCTAGGCACCGGCTCCCTGGCATTGCAAAGCTTGGGCTGAGCAGCGTCTACTTCTTTCTGAATTCGGGCCCCAGTGCCCCAGGGCAGCATTTTACCCTGCAGCCTCCAGTGCTGCCATTCACTATATCCCCCTTGGGAATTCTTTTTAGTTTTTGCTTATATAAAGCCCAAGAGGACATTAAGCATGTTACGTTTATTAAGGTTCTAAGGGGAGTATACTTCAGGATGCAGGGCAGACGTGCTGTGGGCTGTATCGTTGGAAGTCGCCTGCCGAGTGTGTGCCAAGCAGGACGTCATGTCGCTTCAGATGTGCGATTAAGGTGCTTGTGGCTGTGGACGTCATAGACCATGAAACAAACATCATGGCTGAGACGAAGATCCGCGAGGCAAAGCGGGCTCGGGGCGTTGTCTAGCACGGTCACCGCGTATTGCAACCCTAAACCCCAAAACCCAAAGTCCGAAGTCCCTGCACCACCCTAAGCCCGAAGCCCTGTTCTCTAATCTTTTGGGACCCTATGAAATTGTGGTGGTTAAGCACCCTAAACCCTAAACCCGGTATCAAAGGCCTCGCTTCTGCATTCCCAGTAAATCAGCACGCCAGTCAATCATCCAGAAATGTTGCCCTGCAGTGCGGCTTGTCTGCTGGGCGGGTGGCAAAAACAGCCTAAACCCTGAACCGTGTGTTTCGGCGAGTGTTTGGAAGGTGATGAAGCCGAAGCGCATCGGCGAGGTGGACGTGTACTCTTATGGTGAGGCAGATAGACGCTTGTCCCACAGCTAGAGCACGACCTCTGGTGCTTAAACAGGGTTTAGGGTTGAGGCCTGCCTACTGTTGGTGCTGCAGATTTTGCTCTTCATGTATAGATCTTCGTGGGTTAGAGGTTTTCTTCAGACGCCGAGGATACTTCGGCGTTGCTGATGGGACACTGCCTGGATTCACTTATTTCGGAGTGTCACCGGACCACCTGCCACGTGCCACTGGCTTGAACATGCCGAAACTGCTGTGGGCCATGGGCCATAAAGTATGCCTTGATGCTAAATGAATACAATATTCATATGGCCTCCCCTTGTTGCGTGCGCACGCGGCGCGAGGTTGTCGTCTTTGACGATTCCGATCACTGGGTGGAGGATGCCTACTACTTGACTGTTGAGAAGTGCCTGGCTGCATTCAATTTGTATACCCATCGCCGGGTGCTCACGATTCGCACTGCCGTCGCCAACAACCTATACGGGGTTTCCGACATTAGGGGTACCCTACTGGTTGTGTCAGCCTGACTTTCCCGGCAGCTGTGCAGACCTGGTTGGAAAAGGGGTACCCTACTGGGATCTTTAAACCCTAAACCCTAAACCCTAGACCCTAAACCCTAAACCCTAAACCCTAAACCCTACATCCCAACCTTGAGTTCCCTCACAAGTCTCCCCCCAAGATGTGCCGCTGCTGGGAGCGAGGTTGCCTGAGCATCTCCCGCGAGTGTCCAGGATGTGGAGGATGAGCAGCACGCCGCGAGGACACGTTGCTGGCTGGAATCCTAAACCCTAAGCCCTGAACCCTAAAAACCCTAAACCTTACACCCCAAACTTGGAGCTTGTGAGGACATGCCCTCTGGATCGCGAAGAAGTTCGTGGCCCTCTACCTGGCTGCAGAGCCTCCGGCCAAATGCTCCCCAGTTCCTGCCAAACAGTGCTCGTTTGCACCAAGCGCCCCTAAACCCTAAATGCTAAACCCTAAACCCTAAACCCTACACATGGGACCCGCCTGGCTTGTCCGATCGTGAGCGATTAAACCCTAAACCCTAAACCCTAAACCCTAAACCCTAAACCCTAAACCCTAAACCCTAAACCCTAAACCCCCAAATCCTAGTCCCTAAATCCCAGTGCCCGAGGACCGCCATGCCGCAGCGGCAGGGTACTTTGGCCGGGTCCTGGTGGTGCTGCTGCTGGCAGTCTTCCTTTGGGCCTCGGCGGGATGCTCAGCCTATTCGCCTCAAAGCCACCAATATTATGGTATATTTGAAAGCTTAGAGAAGTATAATATATATATATATATATATATATATATATATATATTCATGTGATATATTATATAGGAAAATATGTATATCCAGTTGTATGCTAGTGTATATATATATATATATATACGTTTATAGTTATATTTATATTTGTATTGTACTTCTTTTTTTTTTATTTGTTTACATATTTATACCTTCAACTAGTTATATAGTTATATATTGATATAATTATATATTTATATATTTGTATATTATATATATATTTATATATTTATTATATATTATATTTTATCTATTTATATATTTATATCTTTATATATTTTATATCTTTATATCTTTATATCTTATATCTTTATCTTTATATACTTATATACTATATACTTATTACTTATATACTTATATCTTATATATTTATACATTATATATTTGTATATTTATATATTTATATATTTATATATTTATATATTTATATATTTTTATATTTATATATTTATACATTTATACATTTATATATTTATACATTTATATATTTATACATTTATATATTTATATATTTATATATTTATATATTTATATATTTATATATTTATATATTTGTATATTTATATATTTATATATTTGTATATTTGTATATTTATATATTTATATATTTATGTATTTAAAACTGTTCAGGCCCATCTGCTGGTCTGGATAGCTCGTTCTGGCTTCCTCTTCTTCTACAACATCATTGCGGCTTTGCCCATTTCATCATCTTGGCATGGAGGCTTCAGGATGAGATGGTCAGAGGTATAAGGTTTCTTCTAACCCCCCCCCCCCCTCCCGCAAGGAAGGCGATGAGGAAGCCACGGCAAAGGAGCAGGATGACAAGAAGGAGAGCAAGAAGGACAAGTGACTGCGACAGTCGCGCCGAGACACCACTGCCTCGCGGGGTAGGGTGGCGACCACCGAATGCATGCACATCGCTTTGGGAAAATGGGCCTCTTCACATCTTTGGTTCATTCAGGGAGCGCAGGAAGCAGCTATGTTCATGTCTGGCACTGAAGCACTGAAAGCACGATTGCATCTTAGCCAGGCAAAACTTGGCTTTCTTCTACTTTGGTCATTGGCACTTTTGTGCTGAAGAGAAGCATGGCCAAGGTAGGACAGTAAAAGCCAAGAGGATCCAGCCCTGCGCAGGCACCCCGCTGCAGGAGGACAGCCCAAGACGCCGGGACCCCTGGTCATCTCACATCGTATCACTTTGGGGGAAATGTCGGCCTCAGAAAGGGACCGGGATCGTTGATCGCGATGTATCGAATTGCAGTTATGTGCGGGTGTCAAAACGGGGGGTTTCCTAAAACAGGGGACCCCCAATATAGATAGTAGGATTCCCCTACAATAAGGATCCCAATAAGGTACCCCTATTTTGGGAAATCCCCAAATCCACGGCACCTCAGCTCAAGCCAACACTGCCATGATGAGTTTCCTCTAAACATCCCTGTGGTTCGGTATTGTATGTCGACTTGGATATATAGCCTCGGCCTAACCACGCTGCGGGGACAAACAGACCTTTTTGAACGCTGAGAGTGGACAGCCGTAGGTCATCTTAGAGAAGGGATACTGGGTAGGGCCAACCTAGGATAGCTATCAGAAGCTGCTTTTTGCCCTAGGCGCTCTGATGGCTTGGGCTCGGTGGCAAACCTTTACAGTCTCGAACAAATGTCAACAGACTTTGTTCATCATTTCGTTTTGACAATTTAGGAAAGCGCCATGGAGAATTTTGTGTTTTCTTGATGGGTCGATTTCGCGCCTTCGCTCCATGAGGTGGCACTTGCATGCGGCTGAGGCCTTCTAGGGGTGTGAGACAAGCGAGCATCGTCCGTGTGTGGGTGGGTTTGTGTGTGGGTGCCCCCGCACTGCGGTACGTCCAGCTGGTCAGGGTTCAAAGCAGGGTGCCACGCAGACAGCCCCACAAGTATCCACGATGCCGGAAGATGTTCTTCTCGTGAGCCTGAATCTCCTGAGGTCCTGTCATCCTCGGCGGTTGGGACCTCGGTTGGTGACGGCTACATGTGAGGTTCTGAGCTCGCATGCCTGGAAGGAGGTCAGATTAGTTCATGAAAGCTCGAAGGCAGGGTACGGCTCACGATCACCAGCGCTTCGTTTCCAAAGCTGGTGCGCTTAGGTGGCCGTCGTCCGGGCAACCTTAGCAGCGCGTCCGCCCCCAGGCAGAGTCATCCGAATTGACTGCAGCTTTCGAGAATTGGGGGTCTTAGGAAGGTCTTGCCTCTTGAATTACTCTCAGCACCTCAGCACCTCGGCAGGTTGGGCGAAGAAGGGGCGCATCCCGCACAGGAGGCCTTGGACTTGAGATGATTTCCAACATCCACTGGCAGCCTCACGTGATGCACGCCGCTGATGTCTCGTGGCCATGGCAGTGTCAGGAGCCGGAAGAGCGAACCTTGAACCAGGTCCTGGAGCCATTCCTGGACTGAGGGTTGGGGGGCCTGCGATAGCCGAGGATCGTGGGTTCTCGTTCCTGCTGCAAGGACGGAAGTGTGCCGGCCGACGAACAGCAGCAACTTCGTGTGCTCCAACGGTTCCTGAAGGCCCAACTTGAAAAAGGACGGAGCTGGTTGGGGGAGGGGGGGTGAGCCATAAGATGCCATGTGTGGAGGTCGCTCCGGACCCACTGAAGACTTGGACCGGGTGTGGATCTCAGAATCTCAACTGAGCCAAGTGCCTGTCCAGCTACCGATGCAAGTTCTGATGCTTGCGGACGTTCTTCGCCCCCCGGTAGCGATCGAATGTGCTTCGAGCCTGACGAATGCTCTCGCCCACCAAACAAACAAAAAACACAATCAACCGAACTGGCACAGCACAGCCAGGGTCCTCGACTTGCTGGCTTGTTCTTCTTCTTCTAGAAGAAGAAGCATAGTAATCATAATCGTAATAGTACTAATCAGTATGAATAATCATTACAGTATTAGTTATTAGTATTTGTGGTTATTGACGTTTCGGAGCGGCTTAGGTCGGGTGGCCCCTTGACCGCCGTGGTGCGGGCGGGCCGCTCCGACCTGGTGCTCGACTCAGCGTCTACTATATCCCCCTTGGGAACTGTTTTTTTGTTGATATCAAACCCAAGAGGATATTAAACATGTTGTTATTAAGGTTCTAACGGGAGTATAGTCTAGGGTCCCCAAGCTCGGCGTCTCCAACCCGGGAGAAGCTGCAGCTGAAACAACAGGTAATAAAAGCCACTTCCAGAGCCACGCAGAGCTACTCCTGCCCTTTGTGCGCTGCTTCTTGTAAGTTCTTCTCTGCTTGGCCAAGTCTTCCGCAGGCCAGGCTTTTGCTCAGAGCAAAGGCCAACGTTAATGACTCAGATGCCAAAGGCGCTGGTGGCCCAGATGGAGCAAATGAAATGAATATGCTCTGCTCACAACAGGGCTGCTTGCAGACTGCTGCCTGGCTTGCGCCGCAAAGGTCACTGCTCTCCACATTGCCGTTTTTGACGGGATGCGGCCTCAAATTGTCAAAGAAAAGAGTGTCATGAACGATCATGAGCGACGCCCCTATGGGCAGCGATCAGAGAAAGTCAGCCTTGTTGTGATGCTTGCACGGTCACAAGCTTTCCGCAGCGGCTGAGGAATGCCGAGCTTTGCAAAGTGCTTCTCACTGCGAGGGCAGATGTGCTTGTCTCGGCTGCTGTGGACTGTCCTCGTTTAGCTGCAGTAAGTGGAACGCACATTCTAAGGCAATCCTTGTAAAGCTTTGAATTGCTACCTTGCTAGCAGGTTGAGGCTACGGACCGACATGGCCAAACCCCTCTCTTTTTCGCGTGCGGAACACAGCATCACCACCTGGCGATACTGGGTGCGCTTCAGGCTTCGAGGTCCCCAAATCAATCTCTTGCCATGGCCCTTGCCGCTGCCCTCTTTGGCCCAAGTCCACAGAGCAAAACCGAAGTCCCCTGCCGCACGAGGCGCGAGTGGGGTGACCGGAGGGCAGCCCCATTTCTAGTGTGCTTTCCATTCCACTCTATATGTTTGTGCTTTGATTTTGCTGTCTGTTCGCGACCTGCTCCTCGTCTTTGCTTTGATTTCGCCTTCGATGTTTGTTCGAAGCTGCGTACAGAACGAAATGCAAGTCCCCTCAGCAACAACGAATCCTTTCAGAACTCTTCTTAAGCTGTTCAGGGGCTGTCATCATGCTACCGCTCGCTGTGCAAATGCACTCGCTCCGTAAAAAGCCTTCCTTGGATTGCGTGATAAGATCGTGACTGTTCGAGCACGTGGCACCTGCTGTCTTCAACAAGAACATGCATTCACACTTGGAAGCCTGTACAAATCTCGTCCACACCTGGAGGCAGCCATTCAGATTCGGGCAGCGTGTGGGGGTTAGGGGCTGCAGCTGCTGGCAAACCGCGCTGGCTGGTTGACTCAGAAGCATCTTCTCATAATTTCGCAAAAAAAGCTACCCAGAAACGTGGCAATCTACAGATACAGCAACAGCATCTGGAGGTACAAAACCCAAGGATTTGAGCATCCAAACCACCCAGCAGCGCTGCAGTCTGTGTCGACTGAGGCCACGAAACTTGATTCCACAGAGTGCGAAACCTAAACAGGTTGTAAGTTACAGCATTCGAAATCGGTGGAACGCCTGTCACTGTTACCATTTGCTGTGTTTGGACTACCGGGCCCCACCGCGCCCCTTAGTTACCCCCCAACCCCCCCCCAAAAAAAACTTCAACTCCAGGGCACAAGCTTTCCCATCTCGCCGATGACTCATGAGGCCGGGACAAAGCGCATCGCCATGGGGCCTCCTCCGTCGCAGCTCGTGCAGACATGGGGGTTATAGCTTGGCGTCCCGAGGTCTGAATGCCCCAGAACCACGGGGCCCCAAGGGTTCAGGGTTTAGGGTTCAGGGTTTAGGATTTTGGGCCTGCTGGCTTGCAGAGTCTGGTTCAAAAAGGGTTTAGGGCCCCAAGGGAAGCACTAAATTCCCGATTTAGGGTTTTGGGTTCAATCAAAGGTTCCACAGGGGGGTAACAGGGTCCCCTGTCAAGACTTTTTACATCCACCCTAAACTTTAAATCCCGCAGTGCTGGGGCTAGTCGAGTGGCAAAACCACCCTAAACCCTAAAACTCCAAAACTTCTTGAGTTCGATCCGTCCTGTGCATCTAGCAACACATGCCCGCTGCCCGAGGTGGGCTCTCCAGCTCGGACCTGCCTCAATCCCTTTCAAGGAACCGCACATGATACTAATTCTAAACATCTAACAAAACTTAATATCATAACTTAGTATCATCAGATAATCATATAACGAATATAGCAAGAAAAGTGTTTGGCTTCGGGTTTGGGCTTAGGGTTTAGGGAAGCTTTTGATAGCTGAACGCCCTCGATTTGGGCATTTCCCATCGTAGATATAGCAGGGGATCTTAGAATCCTCATCTAAGGGAGCTCTTACAACAGGGTATCCTTATTTGGGAAACCCCATGTGTACCGAAAGGTCTCGGGACTCTGGACCCCTCGTGCTAAGGACCCTGCCTGCGCGAACGCAGCTGCGGATTCAGCGCCAGGATGAGTGTGTCACTTCTTCCAAAGGGTGGACGACATGCTATGTGGGGGCTTAGGAAAATAGGGGCCCTGGGGTTTAGGGTTTAGGGTTTAGGGTTCTACGGCCTGCTGATAACCCGTGCGTGCTAAGCATGCATGAGGTCGTGCCTCCTTGGTAACATGTGCATGTTTTTGTGGACGCCCTCTAGAAGACCTTCAGGGCAGTGCTTCAGATTGTGGCTCGTTTTCTGCTGGCAGTCATCAAGTCCGGTTTCAAAAAGGGTTTAGGGTTTCCTAATACAGTCCCCCCAAATAGTAGGGCTGCCCTTCTAAAAGGACCCTCATATAAGGTACCCCTGAATATCGTGACCCCCCATGTGAGTTTTTTTCCCACCGCATGGCTTTCGCACTGCTTGCCGGACCAAAGCCTCCGAAGATTTCACGAGCCTGCGGCTTCATGGATGGCATGAGACCTAGCTTTTTACAGGGTTTCGGATTGAGGTTCGGGTGACAAGTATACGAATAAAGGATGCGAGTACTTCAATATACTACAAAAAATGGTATGTTCTCATTTATTCTTTATCAAACAGCAGCATATTCTACTGCGATACTATCCTATGACATTATCATACTTTACATTATTATACCACGATATTGTTCTACTATAAAAATTCAATTAGAATATAAACTGCCAAATTAAACTAAAATATAAACTGCCGTAAGCCGCTCCAAGGCGATGCACTGTGCGTCCTCCTTTCCCGACCTGACCTGGACGAAGAAGAAGTCGCCGAAACCCCTCCAGGAGTCTTTTCCGCAGGGATGCCCTAAACCCTAAACCCTAAACCATGCAGAGCCGATGTTGAGACTGTGGAACCTGTGTGCCTCGCCTGGCTTGTCCGAGAGTGAGCGATTAAACCATGCAACAAAAAGGCCCCCAGGCCTGCCCAGATTCGAAACAACCGTACAGATGCACAGGAATTCCTACAGATGGATGGGGAAAAGGACTCACGCCAAGGTTGCCTCCCCCTGAACCATAACCCCTAAACCCTCTTGGGGGGGTTTACGAAATTAGGGAGAACATCATGGGGATCCTTCTTACAAAGGGAATCCTGCTCTTTGGGGGCGTATATGAGGAGTCCCCGACTGTCGTAAACCCTGTAGGCCTACAGAGCGAGCACCGTGCTCATGCCACTTTGTACTATGAGACTGCCTTTGGAGGCAGTTTTTCATAGACCTCCGCAGACCATTGAGACTGGCCCTTCGAAAAAACTTCAACTTATGTGGGCCACGCATGGGGGTGTCCAGCCGGTATTGAGCCAGCCGGCGCAGGACGCGCACAGGAGATTTCCGGGGCCCAAGCACCTCCAGGACTATGCCGGCCACGTGCCGCGGAAGTGCCTCGGTCAAGTCTGGGGTGGGTTGGGGTCTTAGGATCCTCAATGCAGGGCCTCCAGGTATGCAGCTGCTCCAACCCTGTAAACCCTAAACCCTTCAAGCCAGTGGTGTGGTTGGTCTGCTTGACGGGTGGCAAAAAACCTTAAGCGCGGTTCGGCCAGCCATGCGGTCATGCGGCAGCGAAAAAGGAACCCCAAACCCAGCCGAGAAGTTGCCGAAACTCGAAGCCCCCGCATTCTGGGCGTTTCTGGGCTGACTTGCAGGTTCGACCCTTTCTGTGGGAACCACGTCCTCGAGTACCTCGGATCTGCTCTTGACATGAAGTTGCCATGTTTCTTCGAACAGCTTGTTTCAGAAACGTGAAAGCCCGGCGGCGTGGTGCTGCACATCAAGAATATATACACATATATGTATATCTGTATGTTTATAGTCATTCTTTTTTGAGTTTCCTAAGTTTGTTCACTCACATACATTTATGTACATAGTTTTTCTGTATTCTACATATTATGTTTTATCTATCGTATCTCAAGTATACATGTATATACATGCATATACATACATACACATACATACACATACATACACATACATACACATACATATACATACATATACATACATATACATACATATACATACATATACATACATATACATACATATACATACATAACATACATAACATACATTTACAGACGTGCAGATGTGTATATATATATTCTAATGTATTTAAGTTATATCTTATTGAAAGTGGAACCCTTGTGGACAGGAAGTCTGCCTCGCTGCCAGCCCTTGCGTCCAAGACGACTCAGAAGTCCTCAACCGCAGCGCGTCCCGCATTGGCGTGACGCTTTCATTGCGCTGCTGCACATCATTATATATACATAGTGTAGAATCGCCTTTAACCTTTGAACTTTGTCAATCATATATATATATATATACATACATACACATAGTTGTATATACATAGTAACATCTTTTGTCATGTTTGTTGCGCAACGTGCTGTGCTGGTGGGCCTGCAGTCAGCATGTCTTGCCCGCGCTACTTTGACACCTGCAGGCAAGTGGAATGTGGTACGGGTCTCCTGCCTGCAGTTTACGGGCTGGACTTGGCTTGTCCATCGGAGAGACCCCCTAAACCCCAAACCCCAAACCTCAAACCCCAAACCGCAAACCCTAAACCCTAAACCCTGTTGAAGGCATGTTGGCAGCTTTCCCAGCCCGGTCGACAACTGGGTTCCTGCTCATTTTGCAACCTGGCCACAGACAGGGGGCGGTGTGCCTTGCAGGACCCTGGGCGTGTGCATGGGAATTGCGCTTGCTTCAGCAGTCTTGAGAACGGCCGAGGTGGAAGGGGTGCACTACTAGCGGCTACTAGCGGCTGCGATGTGGTAGCTGAGTGGTAGCTGGACCACTGGAGTGCTTCAGACGCCTGGCAGATGCCCAAGCCACTGTCAGGCGACAGGAGCGTTTCACCGTCTCACCGGCCTTACTGTACACAGGGCGCCGAACAGGAAAATAAAAATAGAAACTTGCGTCAAGCGGCAGCAGGTGGCCAACGTGTTCGGCGCTGTCGTCGTTGCGGCGTACAGCTTTTGCTTCAAAAAACATCTGGCTCCAAGATGACGCTTTGATTAGGTCACGGGCCCACTACCTGGGCAAGGCCAATGCCTGCATCGGGGTGGGTGGCATGGAATCACCTTCTGTGCAGGTGCACGCAAGTCCTGCAGCAATGGGCCACAGCCAGCCGGAGAGCCCATTGCTCGGGACCCTCCAGGCTGGCACCCGGACGCCATGAACTTGCCCGCTGATGTCGCTCTCGGTCGTTTGGACAAGTTCACGCTGAATGCCGCCATCCGGCAGTGTGCGAGAACGGAGAGATGGCATTGTGCAAGCATCTTGGGGGAGCTCATGCAGACTGAGCGTGTGGAGGTGGACATCATCGCACTCACGCAGATTGTTGCTTCGTGCTCCAGGACAGATTTTTCTCAAATGATCTCAACAGCACGTGGCATCACCTTTGGCTGCCTTGCCATGCCTTGCCAGGACCAGCGAGTGGCAGCGAGCCATGGACGTAATGGTGGGTGGCAAGCAAGGGAAGCTGCAGCCTGACGCGACCGCCTACAACGCGATGCTCTTGGGCCACCGCAAAGCCTCGGACTGGCCTGCAGCGCTTTGGACTGCTTGCGTGCGTGGGCGGTTTGGGGAGTCGAAGGATGCCAGGGTGACTTGGACCGAAGGCCTCACGGCCTGCTGTGGATGCCGGATGTGGAAGCAAGCCCTGGACATTCTGAAGCGACTGCATCCTGTGCTGCGAGTTGACGTGGTAATGCGCAGCACGATGCTGTCGGCCATGCCTGGGCAGTGGCAGCGTGGCCTGCAAGTCGCCGGAAACATGGGAACAGAGCTGCTCCAAGTTGACGTGATCGCCTGCAACGCGCTGCTGAGCACAGCGCACGGTACCCAAGAGGTGCAGTGGAAGACCATCGCAGAGCAGCTGACGAAGCTTCAGAACATGGGCTTACGGCTGACACCGGTGACGGTCAAAGTTGCTACAAGTGGACTCGCTGAGAGTGGACGGTGGCGCCTAGCCATACATGCCCTGGCCAGAATGCGAATGGACAGCTTGGAGAATGACTTGGCTGTCTATGGGACAGCGGTGCATGCATGTGTGACAAGGTGGGGTGATTCATTCCAGCTGCTGAAGAACCTTGGAATGTCCTGCATCGAAACAAGCACTGTGGTTATAGGGGCGATCATAGCTGCATGCGGCACGGATCAGAGGTGGGCTCAGTCCTCCCAGCTACTTGCCGAGCTGCGGACCAACGCACTCAGGGTGAGTCCAGTGGCACAGAATGCTGCGCTGAGCTCTTGCGGCCAAGCTCATTCTTGGAAAGCTGCACTGGTACTCATGGAGACCGGAGGCTGTGGCCTCGAGACGGACATCATCAGCTTTGGGGCAATCCTCCAAGCTTGCGGAGACTGGGGTTTGGCCACGCAACATCTGGAGGTCTCGCGCCAGAGGGCTCTTCAGACGGGCACCTAGTTTCGAGATGTAGCGAATCAGTTGCTGAAGCCTTGAACATCGGCATTCACCAATTTCAAGGGCAGCTAAGGACGGACATCATCACGCTGAATGCGGCCTTGGGCTGCCCGGAAAGGACGATGCGCTGGAACGGCGCCCTCGCCTCGCTGCAACAATTTGCGCAGGCTATGCTACAAGTCGATGCTGCGTCGGACAATATTATCATCAGCTCCTTCCGTGATATGTCCAGGAAAGTTGTTTGTATACGTTTTGATGGCATGGTCATGTCATGTCAGCATCATGTCCGATGTTGGGTTGGTGAGGCCATGACCATGCCAACGCCCACGCCCACACACCCGCACCGACACCCACGAGCGCACCCGCACCCACACTGTGAGCGCCGACGCTACTGTAAGACCCCACGCTTTGCGCCACGACAGTCAGACAATCCCTTCCCCCTAATATTAAACCCCCCACCCCCTTACCCCCTAACATTAAATACTCCCAATTGTAGTTGTTGTAGTTACATCATAGTTATTATAGTAATATTCTAGTTATATTGTAGTTATATTATAGTTATATTATAGTTATATGATAATTATATTATAATTATATTATAGTTATATTATACTTTTCTGAAAGTTATGTTATATTGATATTATAGTTATACTAGGTCTTTAATATTCTGGGGGAGGGGAATCGAGGTGGCTACAGAAGGCGGGTGGCCAACTAAATCCTAAACCCTAAACCCTAAACCCTAAGCCCTAAGCCCTAAGCCCTAAGCCCTAAACTCTTGCTCAGGCGCCTTGGGGAAAGCAGGCTCCTGGAACCTCGCGGCCGAGACCGCCTCGCGCTTCCTTCAGCGCCGCCCAGCAGCCTCTTGGGTCTCTCTTGTGATCATAAGGGTTTAGGGTTTAGGGTTTAGGGTCCAAAAAGTAGGGTACCCCTCTTTTTTTATACACCCAATGGAAGAGAGGAACCCCAGAAGGTCAGAAAGAGAAACTTGAAGCGCTCGGCAGCTGCCGGGTTCTGGGCGAATTTTAGGCATCTGGCGTGTCGTTGCATGTAAGTTCGAAAGGGTGGGCAATCTGTCTCCGGGGCCTGAGGCCAAGTTGGGGTGAACGGCTCAGGCTTTTCAGGGCTGGGCCTTCTTCAACTTCAGCTCTAGTGTCTGATGCAACTATGGCGGTGGCAAGATCCGCAAATTCGGATTAGGAACGCCGAAAAAAAAAACAGCAGCAGAGGCTGTTAAAAGACCCGACCAACCACGTGGTTTGGCTGCCCCTTGTCAGGATGTTGTTTCCCTTGGTGCCACCGTGTCCGCTTGTGAGCGAGCTTCTTGCTGGCAGAAGGCCCTCCTTGTCCTCACCTCGTTCGCTGCGCACAGCCTTCAGCAGAATGCTGTGGCATGCAGCGCGGCCATAGGCGCCTGTGAGAAGGCACAGCTTCAGCTGGCAAAAAGGCGAAAACGGCAGCTGCATGCAGCTTCATGGAAACGAGGCTTTCCTCAAGCCGCAGTGAGCCGATTCAAGCCTGAGTTCTGGACCCCTGCGTCTGTTCATGCGAATGCACAGCATGTAGAGGGACAGGGGTGCCAGCAAGCCGATGCTGTGCCGATGCTTTGTTTCTTTCTAAAGGGTGTCACGGCCACTCGGCCTACAGCAGAGTGGACAGACTTGACCCAACCTGCCCGACATACAGCCCCGTTGCGACATGCTACAGCCATGTGCGTTCCGGCGGAATGGGCAGAGAAGTTCTGGATTGGCTGCCCCTTCTATCAGGTGGGGGAACTTTTCGGGCTTGGGTCGGCTTCAGGGGAGTGGGGTGCCGTGGAAGCATGTGGAAGCGAAGCACATAACTCGTTTCGGAGTTCATGGCATTCAACAGCATGCAGATACCTGCACAACCCTAAACCCCAAACTCTAAATTTCTGGAAGTCTGGAGTGGCAAAGTGGCAATCAGCCGTTGCGGCGTGCGCCTCTCGGAAGGGACGCTCCATCCGAGAGCTGGCGGCCTTCCCACGATTCCGTCGCTTGGCTGACTTGGTTGCATGGCGGCCAAACGACTTCGGAGCAAAAGCTGGGGTTTAGGGTTTGGGGTTTAGGGTTTAGGGTTCAGGGTTTAGGGTTTAGGGTTTCGGCCCCAGCTGACATGCAGAGTCTGGGTTCAAAAAACAGGGTTTCGGGCCCACCGCAATGCCCCGCAGGGCCGGAGTCACGACTGCCGCATCGCCTGGATGGAGGCTCATGGGGATCGCACCAAAAGAGAAGCTGCAGATCTTTGCCGTCTTGTCCACAACACCCTCGCGGCCACGTGGCTTGCTGTGCTTGATGCATTGTGCTACTTTTTCTTTCAAGCTGGGTCGCGCGCATTGGGGATTCTGAGTGAGGGAAGAGTTGATGTGATGCCCAGGCTGAGATCTGGCCGTGAACTGCAGTCGTGTCTCATTTCCCTCCTGAAGCAGAAGCTTACTTAGCCAATCAACTTTTTGAGTTTCCCTATTTTTGTGATAGGAAATAGAAAGTTAAACCTTCTTTCCCCTTGGTTATTGGAGAAGTAAGGAAGGCACCCCTGAAGGTGCTTCTAGCTGTACCACGTGGGCCATGGCGTGGCGGCGGCGGTGCTGCCACGTGGCCTTGGCAGACTTCTGTAGCATGTTTTTGTTGATGTCTTTTGCCACCTTTTTCCCTGTGGATCCTTCCCTAGTCATCGTACAGCTTGGCGAAAGAAACCGCGAACAAAGGCCGTTTTGATTTGTTGGAGGGGGGAGCCTTAAGGTATCCTGGTGCTCTGCCGCCGTGGCTCGTGAGGCTCAAGCGAAGGTGGCACCGGCTACAGGTTGCCCGGTGCAAGGATTTCGGGCCGGGAACTGGCCTGCTAGCGGCCGCGAGGATTGTGCGGAATCCGAGTGCTTGGATTCTTGCAGTGGATGATGATCACCATTATCATCCGGAGCTTTCGACAAACCTGCTTCGTTTTGCGGCTGGCACGCCTGGTTCAGCTGTGGGCGCCCATGGCTGGCTCGCACTGAGCGGTCAGGATGCAGGTCTCTTGCCACTGAGTATAATGTACTTGTGCCAAGTTCGGAGATTCTACGCCATCCTTTCCTTCAACTGGCAGTGACCAGTTCTCAAATAAGCATCAGCTGTCAGTATAAGGCTACGCAGCGCAAGCTGCTGGGCCTGCCCTGGCCCGCAACCTGCGCAGCGGTGATGTGCCCGCAGGACCCATCCTGTGCCACTTCCTTGGCCTCCTGGTTCAAAGGGCAATGCTGAACGGGCTTCGCCCGCCGGAGAGAGGGTCGGCTTGCAGCGAT